TTCGGTATACAATGATGCCCTTAAACCACAAGCTAAACAGTAAACAGTAACAAGGTGTAAATTTCTGTTGATGGAGAATAGAAAAGGAGTTCACTGAACGCAGCACAGTCATTTAACTTTAGCTAGAAGAATTATCCTTATCTATACATGAAAAATCCAGTAAAGACTGATGAACAAGCAAAAACTGATGTCAAAGAATCCGAGTGACTTGGGATACATATGCTATCAATGATTAGTGAGCTATATTATGACTCAAAAGCAGACACATTTATGTAATTTTCAGTCATCCAATCCATTAATCAGTAGCAAACTATTCCTTAATACAGTAATGAATTCCATAGCACTGAAAAAAAAAAAATTTAAAAAGACAGAAGTGCAGAACATACCCAAATGGGGAATTCCACAACAAGAGCACCAGCGGCACTAGATACAGCAGCCAAGGTAAGAAAGGCTATAGAAGAGACAGCATCAGCAATCATACCCAAGGCAAATGCACCAACAGCAGCTGCTCCGCCGAGCAATGTAACAGTAACAAGGAAATAACTGAAAGGAGGAGGGACCTGAATGTAACGGCCGAAAGAATGGAAAACAACCCTGACTTCCAAGCAGATGACAACAACCAGTAAAGCGATGGCCCCGTTAACGACACGGATACTTTGCAGCTGAGCAGGATTCTGAGTGAGCCACCAGAGAGAATTCCGGGTGGATGCATAGAGCAAAAAGAGAAAAGGGACAAAGAAAAGAAGGAAGGCATCGGATATAGAGGAAGCGGAAGAAAAAATGACAGTGTAATGAGAAGCAATATGAAAGAGCAAAGGAAAAAACAACAAATGTAGAAGATGAAAACAACTCTCAAGTGCACCAAGAATGAACATGTCATCAGGCAATTCACCACCATGGTAACGCCGCGAACCGGCCTCGGGTTCCGCCTTAAACGACGAAGGCCGAGGAAGCGAGAAAAGCCAGTAGAACACACAGCTAAAACACATGAGATAGTAAGAGGAATTGGACATACCAACAGCAGAAACAGTAGCCCAAGTGAAGATAGAAGCAGCAACAACAGGAACACAAGCAAACAGAAGCTTCTCCAAAGCAAGCACAGTAGAAGGATTCTCAATCTGAACCCATTTGAATTGAAGACTCGACCAAACACCAACGAGGAACGTCGTTTGAGAGCACAACAACGACGCGAGAACAGCGAGCCAGGTAGAATTGAACGAAGAAGAAAGAGACGAAAACGAGTTGAAGAAGAAAGCGATCTGAGCGAAGATGAGCGAAAACCAAACTCCGAAGAATGCACCAGGTTTGTAATTGAGGGAATCGAGAATGTAAGAGCACATTAGACCGAGTGTTAAGACGGTAACGACGGGAGCACCGCCGAGCTCGAGGAGGAAAGCAGCGCAAGGGACAAGTGCAATGGCGATCCGAGCATTGTGAGCGAAGGATGAAGGAATGTATCGAGGATTCTTCAATCGATCGGAGGATGATGATGATGATGATCTAGGGTTAGGGTTTGGTCCGCCATTAAAATGGAGGGAAGAAGGTGGTGAAAGATAAGGACGATGATACTGTAAAGGGGATTGGAGCTCCGGTGGTAGCATCTTGTTTTCCTCCGGAAATAATTGAGTGTTGAGATCTGAAGGTAGTGACTCCGGTATTGACCAGATGAGAACACTAGTCCTGTTTCAAAGGAGCAATTTCACTATTTTTTTGGTGCTACCCATTTCATGCTAGATGCAGCTTCTGTCTTTTTTAGTTTTTACATCTAATTTATCCACCATCGGACTATCCTTATAGATTCAACTTTTACCCAAATCTCGGTCAAAAAATTGATGGTGCTTTTTTAATTGAATTGATAAGTGATAATTCCTTTTGAGCTTACGCTCCGACCCGAGTAGCATGGGGCATTAGGGCACATGGCATCCCGTGTGAATTGAAATTATTCCTATTGAATTGAAATTATTTTTACTGAACTCATTTTTCTTTAAAGAAAAAACAAGTTGCGCATTTTATTATTATAGATCAATAATTCGCCAAAGTGATTAGACTTTGAGAGAACGGACCAGAAGATACAAACTCATCACAACCCCTAACATCCCATCTTGCTACATTATGTGCTAGAGCATTGCTCGCGCGCTTGATATGAGAAATATTAAAGGAACTAAAACATAAAGAAATCTTAGCAGTATCATCATACAACAGATAAATTGAAGAAAAACCATTTGTCACTACTAGAAAAACATTTATTTGCAGCAATTATAAATGATTAATTTGCTGCAGTAGCACATTGGCTAAATCTTACTAAAAAAAAAGATTTTTTTGCAGTAGTTAATTCCATTATCCCCTACTAATAAATAGATTTTTTTATATTTAATTAAAAATGCTATACCTAGGTTTTTATTTGTTTAAATTGCTGCTAATATGTTATTCAACTAACAAAACAAAAAGCCTAAAATCTTTTTTGTACTTGTAGAACAAACAAAATTGCACCTTAAATTGCTACTCAAAGACTTATATTATACATAAACTTAACTATTTCCATTAATAAAAGCTTGTAACATTACACTTTCGTCAAAAAGTAAAAAATACAATTGGACAACATCAAGCATTTCAGCATCTTAACTTAATACGACAGGAGCACAACCGCAACAAACATCAGCAACAAACAATATTACAAATTCTAAAATCTGATTACCGAAGTAGTAATAGAAGGCAGCAGCAACAGCAGTGGTGTCAATCAGGCAGCAACAACAAGGCCATCAATCAGGCAGCAACAAAAAGCCGTTGAGCAGGAAGCAACACACATAGTGTCTAGCAGACAAAAAATTTATTGCTTTTTATCTTGCATAAAATATTAGCAAATAATCTGAATTAATTTTTTTAAAAAAATAAAAAACTTAAATTTATCATATGTAATTATGCATACAACTTAGGAAAACAAAGAAAGATGGAGGCAAGAGGAACAACTGTGCCAGACATTCCTAATGTAGTAGCATCATTCACAAGAGGATCCCAATAATTGCATACATTATACGGTTAATCTATATACTATGTACAATGTAACATTTAAGGGGCGTTTTTCAAGCATCTAAGCTATGAAGTATGAGTTTAGAATGAGTGAAACTCATACCTATTGTTTGTTTTTATAAAATTCAATTTTGAAACCCATACCTCAAACTCCCAAGGTATGGGGTTTTGAAACCCACGGGGGAGGTGGGTATGAGTCATACCCATAACTTTTTTACTTCAAATTAAAAGAAAAACATATCATTCCCAACTCAAACCCAAAAAATGAAATTAAGTATCAAGCTCCAAACCCATACCATCTTGGTTTCATTCCTTATTCCAAACCCATACTAATATTTGAACTAAACGCATAAAGATATTTCTAGCCAATTAGGTTCTTCATTCCTAAGATTGACACTTGACTCATTTTACACATTTACCAAACTTGTCACTAAAGTAGGGGTCATTATGTAAGCATGAAGTGATTGGTTTGATTTATTATTATACTCCCTTCGTTTTTTTTAAGCTAGAGTTGAGATTTTCCAATATACATATATCATCATTGAATTATTATTATTATATTTTTTTTACCAATATATAATCATATAAGAAGTAATATATTGTTGGATTTGTCATAATGTCTATATATATATATATATATATAATATTTTTTTACTAATCTCTTATTAAAAATATTGAATGGTCAAAGTTGTTTCTCGGCAAATGTGCAAATTTGACTCTTTTTTTTGGACTCTATCTTATATATATGTAAAAAAAAAGAGAGAGTAGTACTTGTTAGATTTAAAGCGTTTTTTTTTTGTTTTAATTTTTTTGGGAGTTCCGCGGGGTTCACCTTTCGGGTTAATCCGAATTCGGAGATCAGTTCTGGGTGGTTAGGTTTCAGTCCCATCCTAATTGTTGTTAGATTTAATGCTCTTTGTAAATGTACAATGTATGAATTTTTTTATAATTTTTTTTTATTTAAACTAACATTTTTAAGAGCAATGTAATTCGAGAAGAAAGGAATACGACCCTATTCACTTCACCATAATATTCAGTAAAAATAATTTCTATTCAGCAAAAATATTTCCATTTCCGTAAAAATATTTCAATTCAGCAAAATTAAGGGAAAGTGAACTGGGACTATTTATTATTATTATTTTTAATTACACCCCCTCTCTTCAAAATAGTGTGTAATTTTTATTATTTTTATTATTATTTTTTTTTCAATCAAACATTGTGTAATTAAATTTAAGAAAACTAGCCTTCTGGCCCGTGCAATGCACGAGTTATTCATATAAAATTGTATTCAGTGATAAGTGAGGAAATATCAGTAAGTCATTATAGGGTATAATATGTAATCGAAAAAATTGTATTGAGAGATAAATGAGGAAATATCAGTAAGACATTATAGGGTATAATATGTAATCGGAAACATGATTAAAGAAATTAAAATTTTGAAACTTTAATCGAAAAGGAGGCTTAAAAAGAAGGTGGAAGGGCTAAAATTAAAGAGAGAATAGGAAAAGGTTGAATTAAAGGGGAGAAATGAAGTGTGTATGAAAGATGAAGTATAAGTTTAATGAAAGAATTAAAAAAAATGGTGTAATAAAAAATTAATAGTGTAAGATGACATGTGACACTATGGTTAGAGAAGTGCAATAGAATTGATAGAGACATGTGTCTTTCTTAGTTTCTTTATACTTTTTAAATACTACGGAGTAAAGTATAGATTTGTTGCAATAAAGGAAGTACAGTCGTACAAAACTGTAATTAAAATGGTGTAATAAAAAATTAATAGTGTAAGATGACATGTGACACTATGGTTAGAGAAGTATAATAGAATGAATATAGACACGTGTATTTCTTAGTTTGTTGGTTATACTTTTTAAATATTACGGAATATGGAGTAAAGTATAGATTTGTTGCAATAAAGGAAGTATAGTCGTACAAAACTAATATTATACTGATCTGACGGTTGACATTACACCATATATGCGTGTCATGAATCTTCCTCCTACGTTATCATTTTAGATCTCCCTCACAATTTCTCTTTTTCATCCCACTTTCTCTCTCCTCCATTGAAGCGCGTACTCTGAATTCTCCATTGGAGGGGCTTCTGAGTTTTCTCTACTCCATTGAAGCAGCTTCTGAGGTAAGATGTTTTCAATTTTTTGTTTGAAATCATCGAATATTCACAATCTAGGGTTTATCGTTTTTGATTGTTAGTATAGTCAATTAGGGTTGGTGAACTTGTTAATCACTGAAGTTGTGAAAGATTACAATGATCGATTTGTTGCTAGGAATTTGTTATTGCAATTTTTGTTGTTATTCTTAAACGAGAAGCGTTTTATGTGATTTTTTGGAGCCTAATTTGTTAATTGCGTCAAACATTGTGAATTTGGTTGTAATTTTTTTTGATTGATGTAATTATGTTGTGATGATTGTAGTGCTATATACATATATTTATTACCTCTATTTTCATGTGTATATTCAATTTTTGTAGCAACTGAAATTAAGGAGTATACAAGAAATGAAAGTCAAGCAAAATCAGTAATTAGGCGTAGTAGGTGAAGAGAAAGTCAGCAATCTCAGCATATTGTTGTCTAATCGTCTAGGTGATGGCACTCCGAAATGCGAGTTTGTTCCCGAAATCAGCTTCAACGGATAATCGGTTCCAAGTAAAGTTGAGGTCTCCCTGCAGCTTTTCTTCTCCAGTAAAAGTGGGTTACAAGAAGAGGTTAATAGTGGCAGCTCTAGATAACAAGAGCAACGTTGGTGGCGGAGATGCCAAGAAGGGTGCAGTCCCCAACTCGAATTATGTGGTACCACTTGATAAATCTGCATCTTGCATCACTCGTCCACTTGCTGAGATCCTCCGAGATCTTAACAAAAGGATTCCTGATAACATCCTCAAACCCAACTCCAAAATTATTCCATGGTCTGTCTCCACTATTTGTTACTATGTTTTATTCAAATTTCATGTTGTTAAGTGTTTAGGTCTGGGTATTGATTTCATAATGTTAACATGCTATCATTAGGTACCACGCTAATCGAATGTTGAGTTTCTATGCCCCAGGTGCGGTACCCTCTCAAACCCTTTTTATTTTATTATTATTATTATTATTATAATTATTTATCAAACATTAAGCTGAGTATTAGGATATTAAAATTTGTTATGTATACATGACATTAATATTCCGAGAATATTGTGTTTCCTAGAATTACTACGCTGGTCATAATCCAAATCTCTTGATTATGATGTGATGTTATGTGTGTAAGTTTGGGACTTGTAAGCTTATATTAATATGATAAGCTCTCATAAAAGATAGATCTTTTGGGAATAAGGCTTGCACTTGTTAAAGCTTATGAAGTATTAGAAAAGGAATGGTGGATAAGGGCTACCAAGTTTATCACACATGTAACAGTCTATGTAGCCCCATTCTACTAAGGCCTTGTTTAGTTGGCACAAGGAATAAATTCCCTTGGAAGATTTATTTCATGGAAGTTGTTTGGTTGTGACAATGGAAAGTTGAATTTCCCATGAATTTTGATTGACCAAAGACAAAAGGGTGAGATAAAATTCCCATGAATTCCAACTTTCTCCACTTTTGCTTTTTTGTGTCAATCAAACAACTATCTAATTTACCAATTCCCATGATTTTTCACTTCCTCCATTTAATTTTGTCAACCAAACAAGCACTAAGTTCTAATAAGGGGCTGATATAAAGGCCTTCGTACATAGGATACTTTTTAAGTACACAAACGTACTTTGATGCATAATATAATGAAAAGGGTGAGAGAAAAACAAAAAACAAATATGAAATTAACTTGAATGTCGTCACTTAGATGAACGTGCATTCCTCAAATATATGAGTTATTTTCCCTCGCCACCATTGGCGGGCTCTAACCACACCATCATCACCATTGCTATAACTTTGTGTAATTAACTATTATCATCTTTGTCTTTCCTACCAAGCCACCACGACACCACTTAGCGGTTATTCGACAATTTTTATTTTTATTTGTCTATCATTAATCGTTAGATTCCAATGTAGAATAAGGTGGCAGGACATAAAAGTAGATAAGATCAGCTTTACTTTTTATTGATAGAGTAGTCAAAGGCTTAGATTGGGAATCACAAGCAAACCCGACTTGACTTTGTTAAAGATGAGGAGTTGTTTCTCCAAAATAGCTAAGGAAAAGCAAACAGGAAAGCAACGTAATTTGAATTTACATTGTGGTGGGATGAGGACTTACAAACATGGATAAGATTGAAGAGGATATTGTTACATACAAGGATGCCAAAGCTAAGGCAAAAGGAGCAGTGTAACAAGCAATGGAGAAGTAATATTTTGAGGTTTATGACAAATTAGATTCGAAGAAGGGTGAAATGTTTAAAGAAGACAAATGTTTAACAAGGACCTTAGTACCGTTAAATGTGTAAAAGATAAAATCCAGATGAAGACATTTAGGAAAGATAAGATATAGGGGATAATTTGTCAAGTTGTTCTATGTAAGTCAAATTGTTGTCGTTGGAGACATATTTATTGAGGATTTTAGATGTTCATTGAAAGTGATGGTAGAAAAAAAAAAGCATTAGAGAGTGAAATTATGAAGCAAGTTAGCCATTCTCTATCGAGGTTTGGAGATGATTGGGTCTAGTCGACTTCATCAACAAGATTTAAAGGACTAAAAGGATACATCAAAATTAGTGAAGGAGCACATTGGTACCATCTAAAAGAACAAAGTGATAGACTTTAAATTTAAGGGATAGAGCTCATGAGTCATTCCATGAAAATAAGGGAAATAGTGATAGACTATAGATGGAGGAAATGTATAATTTGGGATTATGTTGAGATAGTCTATATTTGAAGGTATTCATTTGATAAGGCAAACGAATAAGTGTTTTTTTTTCCAAGGGTTAGGGTTTATTATTTCAATCCTTTGACCAATATCCATTGTTGCATATAATTTTCTTTGTTAATGAATCACATGATTCATGAGGTGGGCGAATGGAGATGGATACATTCAAGAGCTATTTTGAGTGTGTTGTGAGGTGGTCAGGTGTAGATGGAGATAGATTCATGTAGCCGACCCCATTTATGGGATTAAAGTTTTGATTGATTGATTGATTTTGTTTTAAGGTCAAGTGAGAAGGGAAGAGGGGGGGGGGGGAAGTGGATTTGTGATAAGGTGTCAAGAGATGCCCTTTGTTTGGCAAATCCTTAAATGGATATACCTTACATGTATATTGAAATAGATAATGATAAGTATTAGAATGTAAAAGTAAACCTAAGGACTTGCGATAAAATGAAGGATTTTCCTACTATGATTGGACTACACCAAAGCAATCCTTAGCATTGAGCTCTTTCTCTTTGCAGCTCTATTGGATATGTTTTGACAAGGTCTATTGAGGGTAAAATTATTAGTGAATCCCCTACCTTAAGCGTTAGAGAAAATCAAGTCAACTCCTAAACATAGTTCTTAAGATAATAGTAACTTATAAGGAAGGGTTTTGATTTGCACCAAGTACCTTAATGAATCTTTGGAAGCGACTTTCATATTTCTTGTGATACCTAGCATTACATGATTGGCTCTACGTGTATTGAGACTTTTTCAACCGGCTTCATGATCTTAGGGATTTGACACCCTTTCAAGTAGCATGGGCCTTCATAGCACTACCTTTCCATAGGTTGAAATCGTCATGCATTCCATGGCTTTACTTTTCTTTTTCCTTTTCATGGACATCTTGTCCGCTCTTTATATCTCTCTTTCCCGATAACCTTGTTTTTTAGCTTTCCTTAGCTTATCTCTCGATGGGTTATGATGAATAAATGAAGGCCCTATGCCCCTAATGTAGAGTCAAACATTTGGTTTGCCTTTGTCCAAGATGTCATTTGAACAATTTGTCAAGAAGTGCTTGCAGAATCAAATAATAAAGAACTGTGTTACTATTAAAGGTAAAGTTGTGATCTGTATTGGCCAGGAAAAAAATAATGAAGAGTTCCTTTATATGTTACCAAGGAGGCATTGTTCAGGTCGTAATGTGAAGTTCCCCCTAATGTAGGGAGAAGGATAGTTATGTTACAAGGTTTTCTTAGTCTGATGGTGAATTTTGTTTGAAGTTCCTTTGGAATGCTTGGTTTACTATCTGAAGTTGTGCACTTGTGCATGGGAACCTTACAAATTTACAGTAATGTGGATTGAATTCATTGTATGATAGGGAATGAAGCATGCACTTTTTTTTTTTTTTTTTTTTTTTTTTTTTTTTTTTTTTTTAACCCAAAATAAAAAATCCATTTGATCAATATATTCATGTTTAACCAAGTTCTTTTTTTCTCTTCCAGCTAATTTACCCTATTGTTGGTTGAATTTTACTCGTTGATTACACTCCCGACTCCTCAAATAAGTCCACTTGGCTATTTTTTGTGGGACTAAAAGAGTGACTGCAATGGTTGATCTCCCATTTTTCTTTTGATTTTGTCAAATTTGGCTTTTAGTCTGGCAGAGTATTTCCCGTTATCATGGAGATCAATTAATGACAAGGCTGATCTAAAAGGAGCTTAATATGCTTTTAAAGTATCTAGAGTCCTTTGGCCATCTTATGGTTTCGAGTTGATGGCTTAAGCTTACCATTGGCATGACTAAAGATTGTTGTTGTCTACAGGTCTTTTACTATTTTCTTGGGATAAGTTAGAAATCGTATGCTTTTTGTCTACAGGTCTTTGTTTCTTTGCTGCTAATTATGAAACAATATGGTTTTCGTTGACTGAAAATAGTTTGAAATAATTGGAGGCGGGTATAGTGCTTTTTGGTGATGTTAATATGGCAGAATTTTAGTGATAGTGCTATTAGTTTTTGCATTTTTTTTAATCACTTGGATTTTAGCTTTATGGTTAGCTTTCATGGCCTTATTTATTTATATATTTATTTATAAAAACCTTGTATAGGTATTTATTATTTAGGCAATGAAGTAGATGGGGTATTAATGCTGCATATGTTTCTTTCTTTCTTTCTTTCTTTATTATTATTTTTTTAATAGTTTTATTTGTAGTTGAAGCTTGAAGCTGGATTAGGTTAAACTGAAAGTCCTTTGGTTTGCCGATTGTACTTATAACTCTGTCCACTTCTTGCAGTGTGATCCTTGATTTTGCTGCTTCTATATTTTTCTCATTGTCTGTTGTATAAGATACTGTACAGAATATTTGCAGGAGTTTTAGTTTGTTTTTGCCTAGTCAATTAATTATGATTTCTTCTGTTCCCATTTCCTACCTTTTTGGCTGTCTAGTATGGAGTGGGGGCAGAAACAAGTAAGCTCTGCTCCAATCCAATGAAAAGAAGAATATAAATGGAACAATTTGATGTTTGCGTTTGTCAATGCATGTTCTGTATCATTAATAACTTATATTGTATGTTTGTAAAAATTATTAAAATATGATATAGTAAAATATAAATAAAGACTAATCGAACTACATCTTATATCACAACATTTTTTGTATATATTATTAAAAAAACAAAGGTCGAAGTTAGTTTTTCCTCCATTCCAAATTAGTTGATACGTTTCTTTTTGGCATACGTATTAATTGTGAGAGTAGAAGATGCATCACATAAATACCCCTTATATACAAATTAATTACCCACCCATTCTTAACTCGCCTGCACTTCAAATAGCCACATCAACTAGCCACAGCCACATCAACTTACCTTCACTTTCCTCCATTCCTCAACCCCACCACTACCTTCACAACCACCAAAATCCACCCTCTTCTATCCATTGTTACCACCGACAACCCATATCTCCAAAGAAATCAACAACTCTCTAAATCTCCTCCTTCCTCTTTCTCTCTCTTCTTCAACCAATTACAAGCTCCCTTGAAAATTTCAGAATTTTTGTACATCCTTCAAATCCATTGTTGGTTGATTTAATTCAACACTTTTATCAAACTTAAACAATTTGCACCCAATTTTATTTTTTATTTTTTTATTTTTGTCTTTTTAATTTCTCCAATATTTTGGTATGATTTAGAGAGTAAATTAAAGAAAAATAGAAGGCATAAATTCAGATGCATTACATTCATATCCTAAAATCAATGAAGATTTCTAGATTTAAGCAAAGAGATCGAAGTAGAGAAGGGAGATTGAAGATAGAGGCTAGATCCATGCTCTTTCTACTATGTGCTTTGCTGGATAGTTGGGCATGTTACTAGGTAGACAGGATAGAGAAGAGATCAGAGGATTGGTGACGTTGTGGTGGCGGCGGTGGCAGCGGCATTAATGTTTTCGGTGGAGTGGGGAGGATGACAATGGAGGAATGAGAGATCAGAGGATTGGTGAAGGGAGGGGAGAGAATAATAGAAATTAGGAAGGTTAAAATTGACATATTAATGTATAGAACTTACCCAAAATAGAAAGGTATCAACTCAAAGAATTTCTTTTAAAAGGAATACGTGTCAACTAATTTAAAGTATACACAGTTCAAAAGTCAAATTGCTGCGAATATTTGATAAAAATCGTGATCAACTAGGAGATGATGGTTTAAACTCTTTGCATGACCAGAGAATATTAAAACACTCATGGATCATGTGATACCATTGATATTTATTTTGGTGATAGCAATGTCTGTAAAAAGGCTTCTGTCCACATAAGGGGATCAGTAAAATCAGTTGAATGCTACTTTTCCATTGTGATGAATGAAAGGTTGCTTGATTTGTTTCCATTAGTTCCTTGTTCAGAAATGAACTTAATGAAGCTAATGTGACTGAACTTCTGATGGAATTATTCACCGATGTAAGATTTTTAGTTCAGAAATGAAGCAAAGTTGATGCTCATTGTTAATTGTGCAGGTTGGTGTGGAGAAGTACGTGATGCCATATTCTCTGATGATGGAAGTGTAACAGTTGTTTACCGTGTCACTATACGAGGATCTGATGGAGAGGTGGGTTTCTATCCTTGTGCTGCATTTTCTTTGTTTACTCACTCAAACTCATGCAAGATAAAAGTTTATTTTGGCTTTTTTATACGAGTATTATTAGGTGTGATGTCTGGTTCTAAGTCTTCTGACTGCAATTTATGCAAGGTATTGATATTTTACGTATTATAAATATATAATGGACAAGAATAAACGATGTTCTTCTCTATAAGCCTTGTTGCATAAGATGGAGTTCTACTTATATAGCCATTCACTATTGAATATGATTATTGAATTGCTATGACAAACTTTGGATAACAGCCTTGAAGTTGTTACTATTAGATGTTGATAGATTTGTATTCACTTTTCATTGAGAAATGTTCTGTGTTTTTCAAATTTGGCTGTTTCTTGAACAATATATTTTCTTCTTGATATTAGTTTAACTTGCTGCAACATTTTGATGTAAAAATCACTTTGATTGGACTTATATGAAGCATGACATTGCTTTTCTTTTTCCTAATGCCTTGCTTTCCAACCTGAAATGCATTCCCTTTGTTTGCTATACACACTATGCTGATCTGTGCTTGATGGAAGTTGTATGATACTATCGATACCTTGTTGAGCTTGCATAAGAAATAGATCTCTTTTTGTTCTCTAGATATTTGTGTCCAAGTTTATTGATCCTCTCATGGCTGGCTTTAATTTGGTACCTTACATAGTTATATGGTTTGTTTGTTCATTTCCCAATGCAACAAGCATCTTACGGGTCTCTGTGCTTAGCACACTGCTAGATTACTGATGGTTTGTGTCATAGTATTCTAGATTGATCAACACAATGGTCTGAATCTTCTGATGGTGAATTTTTTTCATTTTTAATTCAAGGCATATCGTGAAGCTACTGGAACAATATTGTCTAATGACCCAAATGCTGCTGATCCAGTTGCTGCCGCAGAAGAGATTGCCTTTGTCAGGGCCTGTGCTCGTTTTGGGCTTGGGTTGTATTTATATCACGAGTAATTCATTTTTTCCCATGTTTATTCTGGATTTTTGATCTACATACAATCATGTCTAGATAAAGGCATGTCGCATGACATCATACGCGTTGACATTGAATGAGCATCAGGTGAAAGCTTGATGCCTTTGAGTGCTGTAATTCTCTCCTGAAAGTAAAGCCAAACAATGAGTTTACAATTAGTACAAGTTACTGAAGTTAGCATACCCACCGAGGGATGATTTGTCTGAGTTTGTCTTGTCAAATGACATGATTCAGATGTAGTTTGATAATTGATTGGATACTTGGGTATATTTATCTTAAGTATTTTAGACTGCATATATATACGCTAAAACCTTATACAATTCTATTACTATAATAGTCTCGTCTTTTTCCTCTTTTGAAATTTCATATCCAAATTCCAATTCAACGAGTAAATACCTTTTCAAGATTCCATCAACGATTGAAATCAACAAAAAGATCAATAATTTAACCAATGACTAGATTTTGATTAATCAAATTGATGATTTTGTATATTTTTAAGTTAAATGAAATTTAAGAAAAATTGTCACTTTGATGCCTTAAGGTTTGACAAGAGTGAGGGATAGCTCAAGTGATTAGGGCTTCCCTCCATGGGTACGATTTTCATTACCTGTTTTTGAGCACTTTAAATACTTTGGTGGTGCCTTGAAATATTTTCATCTTTAAGGAGTAAAAAAAAAATTATCTTTGTAGTCTTAATTTGATTATATTAAAAATGGGCAAAATCCCTATTTAAGGTAGTGGTTTTGCCTTAAATTGCTACTTGAAGTTCAATTATTTCATAATCGCTACTTAGGGTCTGTTCACTACAGCATAATTTCAGTTTAGCTCAGTTCTAATCGTTCAGTTCAGTTCCTAATTTTCCAGTTCAGCTCAGTGTAATAAATCGAAACAGGCTCTTAAAATAGTGTTGTCCTCAAAACAACTTTAAGTAAATGAAAAATTAACATGATAAATGAAAAATTAACGGTGAAGCAATTGTCAATATACTTGTGATAGAGATTTTGCCCAATCATTTTTGTCTTTTACTAACTGGAAATTAACAAGCTAAAAAGTGGGTTTATATCAAATAATGGGAAAAATATCTGGGATGATAAAACGCAGATGATTGTGGATAATACTCTGAAAATAAAGATAGAAAGGTGCACAGAATAGCCCAGAATGATGAATTGTATTCTGAAAAAGAAGACGAAGATGATGATTATGACGATGATTTTCTGCTTGTTGCTAACAAATGCGAGCAGTAGCAGAATCACAGAGAAGAAAGACGAAGACCCCAAACCAAAGCCATGGCCGGAGCAATTCCACTCAGTGTTGGTGATGAACAACACAAAGAAGAATGAATTGCAGGTCACTGATTTATGGTATGATTGGCCAAATGGTCGTAACTTGAATCTCATTCAAAATCAATTGGGCAAGTTATTGTATGATTTAGAATGGAATAATGGCACTTCTTACTATTATACACTTGATGCTACTTCTGAATGCCGGACATTGCTTTTCGAAGTGGGAATTTTGAGACCCAATTGGCTTGAAGGTGCTACTTATCTGGGTCAGAAACATATGGATGGATTTCTTTGTAATGTTTGGGAAAAAGTGGACTTCATTTGGTATTATGAGGATGTTGTTACTCGCAGGCCTGTTTACTGGCTATTTTATACTGGTATTTTTTTCTTGGTTTTGTCAGATTTTGTGATGTGCTTGATTGGAAAGTGAAAAACCCTGAATTTGATTCGGTTTGTTATTTGGCAGGTTTATACGCTCATGTGATAACATTTGAAGAGGGTGTTGTTTTGGAGGATTCGCGGTGGCAGGCCCCGGTTTACTGCTTTAACAAGAAGGCTGTGGAGGAGGAGGAGGAGGAGCAGCAGGAAACTGCTGGATACCCACATCAGTTTCTTAGAGATGCAATGTCAGTAGCCTTTACATGATCCCTTTTCTGTTTCTGTTTCTTAATGCTGCTGTTGCTGTTTCTTTAGTTTTTCCTTTAGGTTCATTTGTGGACTTCGCTTTCTGTGTCAATGTTGTTGAATAAATGAGATTAACTTATTAATTTATCTTGCATTGGTGATCTTGATATGTTGGAAAATCACACTGATCATTAATAATTACACAAGGGTGGCTAGTAACTGTTATGACCTTTTCTTCGATGTTTGCTGGATGCCTTTCGAGCTTTTGTAATTGGATTGACATCTTTTGGACTTGAACACTTTGGCTAAGAGCCTAAGGGAATCTTTGGAATTGGCCTCCCTATGAGAAAATGATGTCAATTAGAGGGTTTGAGAATGCAGAGTCATATCAGTTGTAGTCAGGGAATTCAGTTAGGTAATTTACATGAACACCTGGGCTTACATAGTGTGGCTGTTCCTAGATGGAATTGCTTGTAGGCAGGGAAATTCCCATTTACATAGGAATGTTGCCATCAATCTTTCTAGGACTCTTTAGAAGTGTCGGAACTTTTTTAGTATTTCAGATTGGCAAGTATAGCTTAACTATGTTTACCTAGTATTAATAAGATCATATCATTTTTCCAATTGGACCATATGGTGGTGTCTGTGCCTGGTTGAGATGTGACCTTTTAAACGAGATATTACAAGTTATGTGCAACAAGAAAGAATTGTACTCTGAAGAAGAAGATGATTATGATGATGATTCTCTGATTGGTGCTAACAAATGCGAGTAGTAACAGAATTACAGAATACAGACTAAGAATTAAAACCAAAGGCATAGGTGTGGCAATTCCACTCAGTGTTGGTGATGAACAACACAAAGAAGAATCACTTGCAGGTGACTGATTTATGGTATGATTGTTCAATGGTCGTAACTTGAACCTCATTCAAAAACGATTGGGCAAGTTACTATATGATGTAGAATGGAATATTGGCACTTCTTAATATTTCTGTAATTCTTTACTGAAGTAAAGTCAAACATTGAGTTTACGATTAGTACAAATTAGTATACCCATCAGGGGATTTGTCTGAGTTTGTCTTGTCAAATGACATGATTCGGAAGTAGTTTGATTAGATACTTAGATATATGCTTGTATACTCCGTTATTCATGTAGTAGTTTGATTGGATACTTGGATATAGCTATGCATAATATAATTTTGGGTTGCATATATGCTAAAATCCACAATTCTTTTAGTAACCTTATACAATGGTACTATGAGTCTCATCATTTACCTTTGTTTTGAAATTTTATATCCTAACGAACGAGTATATACCTCTTCAAGATTCCATCACCGATTGAGATCTCAACAAAAAGATCAATAGCAATTTAATCAACGACTTGATTTGTTAATCATCAAATTAGTGATTTAGCATATTTTTAAGTTTAATGATATTTATGAAAAAAAAATTCAGTTGATGCCTTTAGGTTTGATATAATTCCTCTTTGGTGCCATGACCTTTTAAACTTTGTTTCACTATAGTGTCTTGTGGTTTGAAAATATCACTTTGTTGGTGCTTAGAAATATACTCAGTATATTAATGCTCATTTTAAAACGAAAAATAAATAAATTATGTTTGTAGTCTTATTTGATTACATTCAAAATTGGACAAAACCACTATTTGAAGGAGTGGTTCTGTCTTAAAACCGCTACTTAGGTACTGTTCTCTTCAGCTAATTTCAGTTCAGTTCAGTTCTTAATTTTCTTCTCTCATAAACAATTCAGTTCAATAAATTAGAACAGGCCCTTAAAAGTAGCAGTTTATCTCAGCTACTTGAAGTAGTGTTTTCCTCAAAACTGCCACTTTAAGTCCATGATAAATGAAAAATTAACTGGGGGGCGGCCTCCTGAAATTATTGTCAGTAAGAGGTAACAGATGCAATATATTATGGAGTAGTATTTGTGATAGAGATTTTGCCCCATCACTTCTGTCTTTTATCAACTGCAAATTGACAAAGTAAAAAGTGGGTTTAGCGAAATAGTTGGAAAGAAAGCTGGGATGATAAATTGATAAGACACAATTGATTGTGGATAATACTCTCAAATTACTCAAAATTGAGATAGAAAAGGTCCATCAGACGAGAATTATAAACTGTATTCTGAAGAAGTATATGAAGATGATGATTATGATGATGATTTTCTGCTTGATCTTAACAAATGCGTGGAGTAACAGAATTACAGAGAAGAAAGCCGAAGACCCGAAACCAAAGCCATGGCCTGAGCAATTCCACTCAGTCTTGGTGATAAACAACACAAAGAAGAATGAATTGCAGGTGACAGATTTATGGTATGATTGGCCAAATGGTCGTAACTTGAATCTGATTCAAAAACAATTGGGCAAGTTACTGTACGATGTAGAATGGAATAATGGCACTTCTTACTATTATACTACTTCTGAATGCCGGACAGTTCTTTTCGAAGTGGGAATTCTGAGACCAAATTGGCTTGAAGGCGCTACTTATCTGGGTCAGAAACATATGGATGGATTTCTTTGCAATGTTTGGCAGAAAGTGGATTTTCTTTGGTATTATGAGGATGTTGTTACTCGCAGACCTGTTTACTGGCTTTTCTATACTGGTATGTTTTTTTTTTTTTTTTTTTTTTCCTTCTGTGATGTGCTCGATTGTTTGTTATTGAAAAGTGAAAAACCTCGAAATCGATTTGGTTTGTTATTTGGCAGGTAGAGCTGTTCATGTGATAACCTTTGAAGAGGGTGCTGTCCTGGAGGATTTGCAGTGGCAGGCCCCGGTTTACTGTTTTAACAAGAAAGAGGAGGAGGAGGAGCAGCAGCAGCAGCAGCAGCAAATTGATGGATACCCACATCAGTTTCTTAGAGATATAATGCCACTGGCCTTTACATGATTTCTGTTTCTGCTGCTGTTTCTTGTGGTTTTTCTGTTTCTGCTGTTTTGTGTGGACTTTGCTTTCTGTGTTAATGGTGTTGAATAAATTAGATTAACTAATCAATGTATCTTGCATTAGTAATCTTGATTTATCAGAAAGTCATGCAGCATCACAGCATGTCTGCTCAATAACAATTAGACGAGGGTGGCTAGTAACTGTTATGATCTTCTTTCTGATGTTTGCTGGTTGCCTTTTGAGCTTTTATAATTGGATGTGTGGGAAAGATCCCTTAGACTATAACCTGACATGTACAGTTTGACATCTTTTGGAATTGTACACTTTGGCAAAGAGCCTAGGGGAATCTTGGAATTGACCTCCCTCTGAGAAAATGCTGTCAATTCTATTGAGAGAGGGTTTGAGATCGCAGAGTCATATCAGTTGTAGCCTTGTAGGCAGGGCATTCAGTTAGGTATTTGGCTTGAACCTGCCTGGACTTAAACACTGTATAACACTATAAGAGGCAGTGTGGCTGTTTCTAGATGGAAATTGCTTGTAGGGCAGGGAAATTCCCATTTACATAGGAATGTCGCAGTCAATCTTCCTAGGACTCTTTAGAAGTTTCGGAACTTATTAGTATCCAATATGGACAAGTAAAGCTTAACTATGTTTCCCTAGTATTTGTAAGATCATACTATGGTATCATTGTTTCAATTGGTCCATATGGTGTCTATGCCTGGTTGAGATGTGGCCAGGAAAAACAAAGACTTAAGCTTGAGAGTAGTAATTGCTGCAACCCTGCTGGAAAATGAACCAGAGTGATGATTATCTGTCAGTCTTTGATCTTGGATTCGTTGTAGGGGTAGACTCTTTAAAAGTATCTGATAATCTGATATGGTCACGTCAAGCTTCTCTATGCTTCCCCATTACTTATACGATCGCACCCAAGCATTGATATATACATGTCTAACATGAATACATCAATACAAGTGGAGGGTTGGACTGTTGGAGCTACAATGATCAAATATGTAAGCTGCTACGATATGGTCCTGGGTTACTCTATGTGAAGCTGAGAGTCTGACTAGCATCTTGTTCATGGTTGGCCTGCTTTTGATAGCTGCAATAGAGCTGGATGAATTATTGTTGCTACACCTGAAGGTAGCTCTTTTGTAAGATTGAGATGAGCAGTGATCTGTAGAATGAAAAGGCTTGTCAGGACCATGGAAAAAGAGAGAAATAGGTGTGCCTGATACTTGGCAGAAACAATGGAAGGGAGTAGAATACAACTTCTTGTTGTCACCGTTTGAAGGGCTTGCCGGGGACCAAAGGGTTGATTCAGTCGCCGACTCACCGGCAAGCAGATTTTTGAAGAATAACGTAGAGCGAGTTGGGTACTTGGGTGTGAGGCTGTGTCTGATTCCAATTTTCAATCATTTTGCTTACTGAGTTAGTGGTGTCATAATTATACTTTAGTGCCTTGTGGTTTTAATATTTTCACTTTGGTGTCATGAGCGACCTTTTTAACTTTGTATCACGCATTATGGTGCCCTGTCTTATTTGCTAAAAAAAAAAAAAAAAAAAAAACCTTATTTTGTACAGCTTTTACCATATGGGGATGTTACTAGTTAGTAGTTACTTGTATGTCTTATTTGCAACCAAAAAAAATCTTTCTTTTGTAGTAACTTTTTTTTTTTTTATGTAAATTAACCAATAAGGCAATAAGCCCTTGCTTTAATAAAAATTAACACCTTAAATCATATGATAATAACTTATAATCTACGGATTTTTCATGAAATACCCTTGTGTTATCACTTAATTTACCATATAGCTATCAAAATTTTCAAATTCACCATATACTCATGAGTACCCTAAGTGATTAACTCTTTTAGTTATTAAGGTTAATTATGCTACTTGACAACCTGTGATTATTTCTCATTTAATTAATAATGTACTTCCTCGTTTCAATTTTTAATTCCCATGAAATTTAACAAATGAGAAAAACAATAAGGGTCCGAGGAAGAATATACGGAGTACAGTATAAAACAGAGACTAGGTGTCACGATCCGAGTGATTCAACACCGAAGCGTGCGGCGCGCTCTCGTCTATTGGCGACAAGGGCGCAAGCCTAAAGCAAGGAGGTTCGTGAGCACACAGCAACACGGACCTAGGGTGTCTCAAGAGGGCACACGATTAGGGGTGTACAAAAATTGGCCCGGACCTGAAACCGAACCTGAACCGACCTGAACCGGACCGGACCTGACCCGGACCTGTTGATTCAGGTCCGGTCCCGGTTCTTAAAAATCCAGGTTCCCGGTCCCGGTCCGAACCCGGTCCAAACCCGGGGTTTTCAGGTCCGGACCTGAAACCCGGGAAAATCGTAATTAAAAAAAAAAAAAAAAAAAAAAAAGAAGAAAACCAAACTCTGAAAAATTGAAACTGAGTTTTCGTGGACTTATTTGTATTTTCGGTGGACTCATTTGTATTTTTGGTGTTTGAGAATCGAGACTTTATAGACTTTATGTAGTTTTGTAATTGATAATTTTGGTTTGTATGTAATTATTAAATTATGCAACAGGTCTAAAAATCACAAAACAAGTCCATATGCAGGTCCATATGCAGGTCCAACAGGTTTTGTATTAAAAAAAAAAAAAAAAAACGAAAAAGACACAAAACAGGTCCAAACCCGGACCGGACCTGTTAATTCAGGTCCGGTCCCCGGTCCTCATAATTACCCAATTCAAGTCCCCGGTCCAAACAGGTCCGGTCCAGGTCCGGTCCGGTTTTGGATCGGTGTACACCCCTACACACGATAACAACGAGTGTGGAGTCGGGGCTTGTGACGGTCGATACTTCGAATCGGGCACAAGCGGAACCGACGAAATGAGGGCGTCTCTGGGGTCTCTTGGTTTGGTGGGGGATGCTTTAAAACAAGGCAAGCACAATATCTATAAACGCTTAAATAACACACAAGTCTTAAAGCAATAGCAACGGGGTAGAGAGTTTTGATTGAATAACCATTCGCTCCCTAAAGAGCTTTATATTGCATTAGTAGAGAATTACAAGTGAACGTTGACATGACAGTAACACAATAATTCTCCCTAGAACCTAGAAAGTAAAAAGAAAGACTAAAGAGACATTACATAAGGGAAAATACAAAGAAAATAAAGTAGAATACATAATAAAGAGGTTGGATTCTAACACTAGGTCCTATCATTTTTGTCATTTATTACCAGAAATTAAAGTGAAAAATGTGTTTATGACAAATAATAAAAGAGAGCTAGGATGATAAGACGCAACTGTTTGTTGATAGCACTCTAAAATAAGAGATAGATAGCCAAGAATGATGAATTGTATTCTGAAGAAGAAGATGAAGAAGATGAAGAAGATGATTACAAGTGAACGTTAGTAGCCAAGCTTTATATTGCGTTAGTAGCCAAGCTTTATATTGCATTAGTAGAGAATTACAAGTGAACGTTGACATGACAGTAACACAATAATTCTCCCTAGAACCTAGAAAGTAAAAAGAAAGACTAAAGAGACATTACATAAGGGAAAATACAAAGAAAATAAAGTAGAATACATAATAAAGAGGTTGGATTCTAACACTAGGTCCTATCATTTTTGTCATTTATTACCAGAAATTAAAGTGAAAAATGTGTTTATGACAAATAATAAAAGAGAGCTAGGATGATAAGACGCAACTGTTTGTTGATAGCACTCTAAAATAAGAGATAGATAGCCAAGAATGATGAATTGTATTCTGAAGAAGAAGATGAAGAAGATGAAGAAGATGATTATGATGATGGTTCTCAGCTTGTTCTTAACAAATGCGACTAGTAACAGAATTACAAACGAAGACCCAAAACCAAAGGCATGGCCTGAGCAATTCCACTCACTGTTAGTGATGAACGTCACAAAGACGAATCACTTGCAGGTGACAGATTTATGGTATGATTGGCCAAATGGTCGTAACGTGAATCTTATACAAAAACAGTTGGGAAAGCTTTTGTACGATGTAGAATGGAATAATGGCACTTCTTACTATTATACACTTGATGCTACTGCTGAATGCCGGACAATGCTTTTCAAAGTGGGAATTTTGAGACCAAATTGGCTAGAAGGCGCTACCTATTTGGGTCAGCAACATATGGATGGATTTCTTTGTAATGTTTGGGAGAAAGTGGACTTCATTTGGTACTATGAGGATGTTGTAACGCGTAGACCTGTTTACTGGCTCTTCTATGATGGTATATTTTTTTTTGGGTTTTGCAGATTTTTTTTCTTTTATGATTTGCTTGATTGTTTGTTATGGAAAGGTGAAAAGGCCTGAAATGGATTTGATTTGTTATTTGGCAGGTATAGCCACTCATGTGATGACCTTTGAAGAGGGTGCTGTGCTGGAGGATATCCGGTTGCAGGCCCCGGTTTACTGCTTTAACAAGGAGGAGGAGCAGCAGCAGCAGCAGCAAATTGCTGAATACCCACATCGGTTTCTTAGAGATACAATGCCACTGGCCTTTACATGATCCTTTTTCTGTTTCTGTTTCTGTTTTTATTTTTAAAAAAAATTCATGCTTCTGCTACTGTTTTTTGTGCCTTTTCTTTAGTTTTCCCTTGGGTTCATTTGTGGACTTTGCTTTTGGTGTCAATGGTGTTATATAAACAAGATTAACTTATCGATGTAAATCACGCAGCACAGGTCACTAACAATTAGATGAGGGTGTTAGAAGACCAAGTGGAGTGATTAGTTGGTGACTATTACCCGACATGGTCAGATTGACATATTTTGGGCTTGGATACCTTGACAAATAGTGTAGGTGCATCTTTGGAATTGGCCTTCATCTGAGAAACTGAAGCCAGTTTTCTATTGGGAAAGAGTTTGAGATTTCTGAGTCATGTAAGTTGTAGACTTGTAGAGTTGTAGGCAGGGCATTCAGGTAGGTATTTGGCTTGAGCCTGCCAGGGCTTTAACACTAGCTGTTCCTAGATGAAAAATGCTTGTAGGCAGGGAAATTCTAATTTACATAGGAATATCGCGGTCAATATTTCTATGACTCTTTAGAAGTTTCGGAACTTATTAGTCTTCAATGTGTGCAAGTAAAGCTTAATTATATTTCCCTAATATTTACAAGATCTTATCATTTTTTCAATCAGACCATAGGTGTCTGTGCCTGGTTGAGATGTGACCAAGCAAAGCAAAGTAATTATTGGATTTATTGCTGCAACCCTGCTGAAAATTAAGCCGTAGTGATTATATGTCAGTCTTTGTTCTTGGATTCTTCGTATGGTTAGACTTTTTAACTGATATGGTCACGTCAACTCGTCTATACAAGTGGAGGGTTGGAGCAAGAATGATCAAATATGTAAGTTGCTATGGTATGGTCTTGGGTTACTCTATGTTAAAGCTGAGAGCCTGTCTAGCTCGTTGTTCATGGTTTGCCTGCTTCTGGTAGCTGAAATAATGTTGGATGAATTAAAGGTGGTTTTTGGGTATGATTGAGATGAGCAATGAGCTTTAGAATGGAAAGGCTTGTAACTGGAGATTTCATAATAGTGGACTAGTGGGTAGTGGATCTTTGCCATTTTTAGAGTTGTTGCAATATATTTGGGACAAATAAAAAATTGTTTAGTATTTCAACTAATTAGGATAGAATAGTTTTTGATATTTGTAACAAACAAAAGGGGACAGATTTGACAATTGTCTCATTGAAACTATGGCAAAGAGCCAAAGATCATTTGAAAATAGTCAGGTTTCGGTTTTGAGATGCTTATAATTTGCAATTTAGATGTAGATATGGATATGCATTATGCAGGATGGCCAACATCTATTTTTGCTGTCCCAAGATGTAAGAAGGCATCATGAGGGCACACAAACAGTTCAGACTGCCTAAGAAGACGAGTAATATTGTAGGATGCGTCTTGTGGGTTACTTTGGAGAGACAAACTAGATCACCTACTTACAATTACTATGTAGTCATATAGAATATTTGCTTTGCCTGCACCATGCTTCCTATCGTGGCAGTTGCTAGTTTGCTACCATCAAATGCAAAACTTGGAAACTAATTCACCCCGGAATGTCTGTTGACATAATAGGTAAACTACGGAGATAGATTCTTCCTTTGTACATTTCTATTTGGTGTAACTATGGAGTAAAAATGAACCTGTTTGATGTTTTGTTCAAAGGCTACAGAAATGCAGTATTATAATAGTCAAATACTGGACTTATAATTAAAATCAGTCCTAAATCAACCTGATTTAACAATATATAATCATCTTATATATAGGGTTGAGTTGGATGCTCCTGCCTTCTATTATTGTACCGGGTGGACCGCTCTGTATTTGTATTTTCTGGCTGCATAGAGGAAACCACAGAAATTGATAATACTGAGTCCTGTAAGAAGCCAGTAAAAATAATCAAATCTTCCTGTGTTGATATTCTGGGATAACCAAGAACGTCCCTTTGATTCGTTATCTGCTGTGGCAGCTTTAACAATGTTGTTCAAAATGGTTGCAGCAAAGCAACCCAAACCCCCAGCAACTGCTGCATAGGCGGATCCAATGCTTCTCATGGCATCAGGAGCCTCCTCGTATAAGAACTCCAGCAATCCCACGATGCAGAAGACTTCAGCTATTCCGATGAGGCAGTACTGTATTAGCAGCCAAAAAGCACTCAGATCTGGCATTGGACTGAGAAAACTGGACTCATACCCATTTTTTATTGCATAATTTCTCCTGTACCTCTCAAACACCCCAGCCCATGCGACTGAGAGGATAGAGATTACCATGCCAATGCCTACCCTTTGAAGCTGAGAGGCTCCATGAGGATGTCCTGTGATGCGCCTTGATATAGGGACAAATATGTAGTAATAAAGGGAAAGCACAAAGAAGATGCTTAGGGCAGGGAACACAGGCATACAGGTCACTGGGACTTTGAGACGGCCTATATGAGTATTCAAAGTATATGCTTGTTGAACTGACAGAGTCAAGAACTCTGTTAAGATGAGACTCAGCATAATCGTGCTAGCTGGTATAGGCAAGAGTTTTAACAGGATTTTGACTTCCTCCACTTGAGTCACTGTGCAAAGCTTCCACGGGTTTGGATCTGCGCCATCTTCCGGCAACTTTAGGGCCGCTTTGTCCAAACATCTACAGCACACATCAGAATGTATGTTTGTTATTATTATTATTAGGAAAATGCTATACATAGCCCTTAAGGCTACATATAAGCATTATAAACACTCTTGAAAATTGTTTAAATTTAGAAAATCATGACAAAAACACACTAATTACATTGATCTACCGCGTAGTTTTGTCATAAATTCCTAATTTTATACAATTTTCAAGAGTGTTTGTAATGCTTATACATAACATTACCCTTATTATTATTATTGTTATTATTATTATTACGAATTAGTTTGTAGGACTGACTGAATGATGGTTAATAAAAGCAGGAACATGGTCGTTTACCTGAAATCATCAGTGTGTTCAATTTTTGCACTACCTTTGACAGCAGATCTTTTTCCAGGAAGCTCATACAAGCCAACCATCTCACTGCTGGTGAAAGAAGCATTTCTTTTTCTGAAGGCTGCAACAAGAACTTGTGCGACTCGTGTCAAAGGGCTGCCCCCGGGCAACCTATGCCGGTAAGTAGGAGTGCCAATAAAGAATAGTGCATTAGAGATGCCCATACCCAAGGCTAACGAACCAAACGCGGATCCCCATCCGTAGTGCATTTGTATATAGACGACTGCAGTAAACGCTATGATAGCCCCAGAGGTGACAGACAAGTAGAATACGTTGAAGAACTTGTCTAGGTGAGCCTTGTAATCTCTACTTCTTTCATCAAATTGATCAGCTCCGAAGGAAGAGACACACGGCCTTATGCCTGCTGCTCCGAACCCTGTTATATAGAGAACCGTGTTAAGGAATAGCATTTGCCATGGCTTCGCCGGCTCACAGGTTCCTAGAAGGATTGCTATTTGATCACATTGTTCTTGGCTTGGCAGAAACAACTTCATAGTTGCAATTAACGTTATTCCTGTTAACCCCTTCAAATTCAATGCATACAAGAAAAATCAGAGGAAAATTTTAACTAGAAAGACAAATCTATTGGAAATTGCAGGAGATAAAGAAGGGATAATCTGATTCATGTACAAAAGTTGTTACCAAAAGATATATGGTTGTAAAAATTGCAATAGTCCAATATCGACCAAGATAAGCATCAGCTAGAAAACCACCGAGCACGGACGACACTTGTGATATTCCCAGGAAATTATTGACAGCATTGGCAGCACTCGAAAAGGGCCGATGCATAACATAAAACATAAAAGCAACCATGTTCACTGATAAACCAAAGTACGCCATTCTCTCAGCCATCTCATTTCCTGCAAGAACGGGAAAACCAAGAAAACCCAATCATTTGGATATTACTTGTGAGATATAAATTATTTAAAAGTTGCAAATAATATGAAACGGAGGTAGTAAGAAAAAAAAAAAGTAGAGTAAAGCATCTCATTTCCTAAAAGAACAGGAAAACCAAGAAAACCCAATAATTTGGTTATTACTTGTGAGATATAAAATATTCAAAAGTTGCAAATAATATGAAACGGAGGTAGTAAGAAGAAAAAACAGAGTAAAAGTACCGAAGATGAAAAAGGCAGCAACCCAACCACCCGTCTTAGAGATATCAGCTTCAGACATGGGTTTCCTGCGAATGTTAACAGGAGTACTCCCTACAGTATAACCTCCGCCAAGTGCACCTCGTCTGTCATCGGACTCGATGAAATAAGTTCCGAGCTTCTTTCGTTTACTAAAATTTTGCAGAGAAGTTGGTGTTCCAATGACTTGATCTTCAGGAGACCTGATTTCTTTACTACCCATTTCAGCCCCAGAAGTTGTAACTTGTTATTTCTCAACACTAAGATAATAGAATTAGGATCATGACAAAGTTAATTTTGTGCTTGGTTGTGGTACAAAAGAAGTGAGGGATGCAGTGTGTATGTATGGGCCTTTTCTATACAAGATGCATCACATTAATGTTTAGCAAAGTCTGTTAGTTGATGGTTGACAGGTATTTAACTCCCTTCACCACACTTATCATTTATGTTTGTCATATCAATTTCTTATTTTAAATTAATGAATTTTTTTTTTTAAAAAAAAAATTATTTAACTCAGATTATTATTTTGTACAGAAATAAAGGATCTTATGTTCTTACCTCCGTTTTTTAGTTACAATACGTACTCCCTCCGTGTTTTTTTAAGTGTTACAGTTTGACCGGCACATAGTTTTAGACAATTTAATTGACTTAAATAAAATAAGAGGTAAGTGGGGTACTTGGAGTATTAAAAAATTGTAAAGAAAAATAGTGGGGTTAATAGTTTGTTGAAAAGTAATGAATGTGAGAGGAATATACAAGTATTAAAAAAGTTCGTGGGTTTGGGTGGGGACCATGAGAGGAGAGAGATATAATATTTTAATATAGTTTTTTGCAAAAAAAGGAAGTGTAACACTTTAAAAAAACACGGTCGGAAATGAAAAGTGTAACACTTAAAAAAAACACGGAGGGAGTATTTCTATTTAAGAAATTTATTTTTAGTTGACATAATTTCGATACGCTTTTTCTCTTACATTTACTGGTGTACCCCACTTACTTTATCATCCTCTCCCTTCTCCTTAGTATGTGTGTCTAAATTGAACGTGCCAATTAAATAGGAACGGAGAAAGCATGCAACAAAAATGATACTCAAGTTGGTGGAAAACTCACCTTGTGACTTCAACCCTGTTAACTATAGGAGTAAAGGGATTTTCTTACCTCCTCATCTACTTTCAAGTGCAATCTGTAAAGCTATACTGACTTAACCTTAAAAAGAGTCGATTTATTAAAGTCCACAATTATATAAATTGCATTAAAGTCAATACTCACATAAAACATTACTCCGTAAACAATAAAAAAAAAGTGGAATGAGTGAGTGACTATTAACTTCTTAATGCGGCTAGCAATTACAAGAATAATTATTAGAGGCTACATGTTGAATAGCAGTAGTGTAATTTGCCCACTGACCATAATAAGCTCTTATTTGTTGGTTGTTCGCATTTATGATCCAACTGCAAGCCCATTTATATATTTCCGTAGAAATACAAATGCTGGTTTGCCCTACATAGTGACTATTGTGGAAACTTTGACCACCACCTCATTAATGTCTACTTCACCTCATTTTAGATGATAAAAAAGTTACTACTCCGTATTTTACGTATTTTTAGGTGTCTGAAATGCCCTTCCTACGATCAGGTTAAAAGTTTCCTTTTTAAAAAGGGAATGACTGAATGAGAGATTTGAGAATATACGAATGGTGGATGTTTACAATTGTGCAAATTCTACGTCACACATTCACACCTGTACAACAATTAAAACGAGTATGAGTATGACTTTAGTAGATAGTGATTTATGATTGGGTATGAACGTGTTGTCATACTATCACCGTTACATGTTATGTACAACGATTTGACATAAAGCAGAGAAGGAAAATGTGTAATCGTTGCACATAACCTGTAACGGAGGTAGTATGAATGATAAAAAAATATTCACTGTTAGTAATAGCCGATGGATTTGAAATCATATCAACTTCGTCTCATCATTTTAATAATTCAAAAATTAAAATACGGAGTATTCTATCAGGCAAAGCCAAGATCAAGGAACGGATTAGCAAATATTGTTACGCCAACCAACTTAAATTAATTTTAGCAAATATTCAATACGTAAACAAAACAAATTAAAAAATTAAGTTCAAAAAAATGATGGGAAAATAACCTAATATGATGGTAACAAGAATCATGCTTTAAAGATAACACTAGGGTAGCCATGGCTCGTTCTCCGGTTGTCTGAAAATGCTGCTTGTCTTTCATGGAAAATATACTAAAAGCCTAACACTTTGATCTTAGCTTCTTGATATAATTATATGAAAATCACACTGCAGCAAAAACTTCATGCCACAACTAAAACATACGCAGACACCCCTATCAGGTAGCAAGATCCCCTTCACTTTTATTCAAATCTTAAACAGCATCAATATATGATTTTTCCTCTTTTTGTAAAGGAAAGATGAAAGCATTAGAACCACTTATACACTGACTAAAATACATGATTTATTTCACACCCGACGGCACTCACTCATTGGTTTACCAAGTTCAGGGAGTTTGCTTTCTCTTGCAGGGTATCAAGCAGGCTATCAAAGCTCTTCTTGAAGGAGTCTACTCCTTCAACTTCCAGCTGAGAGCCAACCTGGTTCCAATCGATCCCCAACTTCTCAAGTGCACTATAGATACCTTCAGCCTCAGAGACGTTTGCATCGATGGTTCTAGAGACTGTTCCATGGTCAATAAATGCTTCAAGGGCCTGATCCGGCATGGTTGAAACCTGAAAAAAGAGGAGAATTTTGAGGTTGAGTCCCTTCAACCATTTACATGAAGTACTAATCACTTCAAAATATAAAGATAATTTAAAATGCAACTTACAGTATCAGGGCCAATCAGAGGATCAACGTAGAGAGTGTCTGAGTAGGATGGATTCTTAACACTTGTAGAAGCCCACAATAGTCTCTGCTTCTTGGCACCTTTTTTTACCAATGCTTCCCATCTTGGACCAGAAAATTTCTTCTGATAAAGTTGAAAAGCCAGAGTTGCTTGGGCCACTGCAGCCTGTATTAGCAAAGATGTCATAAGGTCATATTAATGAGTGATCATATAAGAACATTCAGAATCCTCAAAGTATTGTAATTGTTGCCAATCATGTTACCAAAATTGAAAGAACAAAAGAAAGGAAATCATGTTACCTTCCCACGGAGATCAAGAGCTTCTGGGGTTCCTATCTTTTCAAGCAATTTGTCAATCAGGGAGTCAACCCTACTGACAAAAAAGGAAGCCACACTTGTCACTCTGGAGAGATCACTGAGACCAGAAGCCTCCAGCCCATCTAAGTATGCATCTATCACAGCCTCGTACCTGGAAAGAGAGAAAATAAGCTGCGCATTTGCACAGAGCCTCATAGTTAAAATGACATGATAATATTATATAAGATTCTAAGCAATATGAACATAAACTTGGGTCCTCATGCACAATAAATACAATCTTGCCACCTCAAAATCAGTTTCAGAATGAAGTGCTGTTACTGTGCAAGCTAGAGAGCATCAAAAGAAAAAGCATATAAACACACGAGTGCCAGCCATTGATTTTATCACATACCAAAAAAACTTATGTATCAGAATACAGAATCTCAATTGGCTGCAGAAAACTCTGTTCTTTATATCAAGGTATTGCCTATAAAGTTGGCATATAACCTCAGTATGATTCTATCACACCAAAGCAATCCATATTGAACAGGGTAAGATATGTCTCTACTAAAAAGGAGTATCCTAAAAACAATGGCTGAGGTCGAGATCACAATTTACAACAAATGGCGGCCAAAGTAACATCTCATTGTATACCTTAATGCTTTATAATAAGTATATCTTTTAAGAGGTTCAAATCGCCCTTACGTATTTGCAGTAAAGATTACTAACCAATACTTCTCTAAAATCATAGTTGAAAAATTACTTTAAAACATATTGTCTTAATTTTGTGTGATATACGCGAGTGGTTCTAAACTTTTGTTTTGACTTTAATACTTCTTTCTATAGTAAGAAAGTTCACCTAGTAACCACATACACTAAAGGGTTTAACTTTGACACCAGACCATACTGAATGATATTAAATGGTCTGTCCTGGAAGTTGCGTTGTGATATGAAAACTTGTGTTATTGAATAACTTTATGCAGCACCAAACTGAAAGAACTATATAAAATGACCTTTACTCAAAGAGGCTATATATTTAAGCTGATGGTTCAGCATGAAGCCATTTCAAGTTCAGTTTAGCTAAAAAATGGAATGAATGTTGAATTTATACTTTACATATACAATTTACAAAAACCACAATCTGATTAGTTAGAATAAACCTTTTGCAGATAGACAGTCATGGAAAATTAAGTAAGCAGAAATTTGAAGAGTATAGTCAATTAATAGCATGCCAGAAAAGCAAGATAAGTGATCGACATAGTGTTACATTCAACATTTGGTAAGATTTCACAGTTGATTAAATTGACAGGCAGTATATTCTCTAAAGAGAAAGTAACTTACAGTAACATTGACACTTATACCATTGGCAATAGTTTCCTTTATCGAAGGGATGCAGGGAGCAGTAGCCGGAATCTTTATGTAAACGTTTGGCCGATTCACAACTTTATGAAGCCACTTAGCAGCTTCCACGGTGCCTTGAGTGTCATCTGCAAGTCTAGGAGACACTTCAACAGAGACATAACCATCAGCTGCATCTGTTTGATCATATATGGGCTCAAAAAGTTTGCATGCATCTTGAATGTCCTTGATTACTAGCTCCCAGTAAGCACTCTCAATATCTTTTCCAGATTTTATAAGTTCCCTGCATATTAATTCCAAAATAATATTTAAAAAATGAGTATGATAATAAAAAAAAAATATTATACTCAAAATCATACTCACGTCTTGATTGATATTATATCTTTGCACCCAATGTGCTCTATTTTATCATTCAAATCAATAACACTATTAAAAAAAACACTTACTACTACTTCATTCCATTAAGTTTTCCTTAATTATCTTTCAAGTATCTCTCTCTACTTAAGATCATTTTAAACAGTTCTTCCCAATTACGCTTTAATTCATTTTGATCAAATAAATAATGATATATTGGCCCAAGTAAGTCCACAGTTGATTTTATTGCGCTCTATCGATCCCTTTAAAATTACTTATAAAAACAACTCATTTCCATTGCTTAGAAAAAGTAGTAATCTTGAATATCATCAAAATTTTACAATTGCTTAAAAATACCATGACTAAAACGAAAAATAAAAAATAAAAATCCCAATAGTATAATAATATCAAGTTGTTTAAATACGAAGTAAAGTATCATACAGTCAAAGAACTCCAATAGTTGCAATATTCATGTCACAAAAATCAAATATACCACATATTTGATTTTTGTGACATGAATATTGCAACTATTGGAGTTATATACTATTGACACACTCTAATATGAGCTTTTATTAATAATGTAAGGTGTAAGCAAAAACCAGAAATAAAAAACAAGTTTTATAAGCATCCGAATAAAAGATACCTGAATTGATGATTGTAAGCATCTGAAGAAGAAATGGCTTTCTGGAAAATCTGGAAACAAAGAACACGAAATAAGTCGAAACTCGAAAAGAAGTAAAACAACACAAGCAGATAAATTGAAGGATAGAGTAAGTCGATAGAATACCGCGGGATTGCTGGTGACACCTCGAACACCATTAGCAATGTAAGGGATCAAATCCGTAACAGGTCTACATAGATTATCATACCAAGGACTCTGCCCTTCCTTTTCGTACAATTCATGCAAACTCGTCCTCTTGATCGGACTTCCATTTCCACCAGATTGCGTGCATTTCACTCTGTTCAAGTTCAAATTCAAACTCAGATCATCAGATCAAGCAAGCAAGATCGGAAGAGATGAATAATCATCACAAAAGAAAAGAGAGAAACTTACAGAAAAGGGAAAGATGAGGTGCGATTGGTTGGTAGGGACAATCGAGATGATGAAAATCTGGATTTGTTGAAATCAATCATAAAACATCTTTGAGTAGTTGAAGATCTGCTATTCAACTTTGATGATGATGAAGAAGATGATGCTGTAACTGGGTTTAGAATCTTTGATATTGTCGCCATTGATTGATTTGAAATTGGGGGTTAGGGTTTATGAATGAGTAGGAAATGAAATTAGCAGGAATGTTTATTGTTTATATATTACCCACCTTATTTTTGAAAACCAGGTTGGTTGTTGGGAATTGGGAACAGAGTTTGGTTTTTCTCTTGCTTCTTTGGTTACCTCGTGAGCTGGGTTGGTGAAGGTCAATTTCGGAAACTTGACCATATTTAAAAAATATATATATATATATATATATATAAAAAATTGAGTAACGGAAAAGATAATTTACAATAACATACTCGAGGGGACGAGGGGTTTCATTTTAGGTTATTTTTTTCATAACTAGTTACATTTCTAAATTTAGTGAAACCTTTACAAATTTTCTACCAGTAATAATTATCGTTTAAAGACACTAATTAGTAATTACTCACATTATAATGCGTTTGATATAGCGGATAGGGATAAGAGAGATCAAATGGGAAAAAAAATGGAGGAGAATAATTATATTATCCATTATGCTTTTAGGAATATAATGTTGCACCCTTATCCTTATCCTTATCCTTATCTCCAAGACCCCAAATCAACCCTATCCCCTAAACAAACATTTGATTTCTTCTATTCCTAACATCTTATTCATATCCTTCCCTTTATAATTTTTCAGCATGTCTTGTGTGTGGTCGGCTGTACCGTGTGGCCCCTATAAAAAAACAAAGTTACCCCTGTAAATCTGTAATACTGACCGAGTGAATCCTATACCACTGACCGAGTAATCCTTATTATACTAAGGAAGTAACCCTTATAATGACTAGTCACACATAAGAATTTGTGTCAATTCTTTATTGTCTAGAAAATCACTCCCTTATGTTTTAGGTTGAACCAAGTATTAGTGTAGTACTTGTTTAGATTAGCGAGATCCCAATAAGTGAAATCAATACTGGCCAACCAAGATATCACAAAAATATCAGTTATTCAATTTTTAAGCTTGATACTTCATGATTTAAAGGTGAGGTTACTCTTGACAAAGATGTTTCCATAGTATCCATGCTGTGGATGATTAACAAAATGCCCTTCTTCATTCCCTGATGTAGCTTTGTGGCTTATTTTCTTTAGAAATAGAAAGATTCAATGATTCATCATCGGCCTTACCCCATACTCCAGTAATCCAATGAAGTAACATAAGATTCAAGGTTTTTGTATGCCGCGAGGCAACGAAAGATCTACCTGTTTTTTTTAATCAAATTTTGACAATGTAGATATTCAATATGACTATATTCAACTTCCTCATACTAGGTTATATACTTCGTAATAAAGAAAGCCAAATCAGAGCTATGAGCGAGGAGCGTTGACTAAAGCAGCAGGTTCTGATTGATACTAGTTATAACAGCACTTTATATTATTGCAGAACCTGTTGCATTCTGCAATAACAAAGAAATGGTTCCTTTTAATCAAATAGTCCCTTTGCCTGGAACTTCACAGATATGAAAGATTTTGTTTTTCTCTTCTACAAATGTTTTCTACAGAGCAACATGTTTCTGATGGTCCTGGGATAAAAAGTTCATTGGTTGTTGCCTTTGGTAATTGGATTTCACAGAGAGAGCCGGACATTGCAGCTGATGCAGGAAATTTTACAACAATAATGTGCAGGGGGAGTATATCAAGGCAACAAGGCGTTCAGGCCAGAATTTCAGTATCTTACTATCAAGAGAATAGACTAAGCTTTTAAAGAGACTACAAGAGGAACTAATCAGGAAGTTATTTGCGAAGAATATATATTAATTTTCAACAGCAAGATACCGATACCATGCTTAAAATTTCATGGATGGTACTGTATATAGTAAGTTAGTTACAGACCGACAAAATGGTTGAAATACTTACAAAATTCACATAGATTATTGCTTAGGAAGCTAGGTCTCAAGGTAGACGTGAACTAAAACCTTCACTGATTAAGCTTCTCAAGCAAAACTGCCTTCTCCTCTTCTGGAAGAGCGTTAAACATGAATACAGACTTATCACCTATGTCATCCTGCAATTTCAGGAAATTGGAATTACAACTTCTCAGGTCATCCTAAACTAAAATTTAATCTGATGAAGACTTCTAATATGATACATATAATAAAAGAGAACAAAGATTTCCAAATACAAAGGAAAGATACGTACCTTTACAGGCATATAATAAAAGAGAACAAAGATTTCCAAATACAAAGGAAAGATGCGTACCTTTACAGGTTGAGTGAACTTCCTTCCAGCAAAAACGATAAAGAGTGCCATCCACACACCTAGGAGACTCAATTTCACAGCATCGTCTAATATGCCAGTCTGTTACAATTCATGTCAAGCACACCAAGCCCAAATTAACAACAGTAGGCAACTATATTATTACATCTGTGCTGAGAACCACAAATACATCACAACATGTATAGCAGGAATATATATATTTTCAAAAGACAAGTTTATTCTGTGCAGGTTAGTTTTTGCAGCTCAGAATTACAGCACATGAGTATGAAACAAACAGAAATTGACATAAATCACAGAATATATCCTCAAACACCTCTCAACTCTTAAGAAGGGACAATCCTATTCCCCAAGGGTCAACTTTACATAGATTCTTTAATTTGGCAAGTAAACCTTAGGAATTGCTGACAAAAAAAAGTTCAATTATAACTAGTAATTTATCTCATTTAGCTATCTGAACAATTTTAATTCATCCTGGTTATTTTCTGTCACTGAGAATTACAACATACGAAGTTTATAAGAAAATATCAGAGAAATGACATAAAATACTAAAATATTCTCAAACATTTCTCAAGAACAGAATGATTCTCTTATGCAATATAGTCCCTGTAACAAAGCTTCAATAATACGGCAATTAGCAAGTAGATCCTTAATGCAGAAAAGAACCTAATGAATAAGCAGCTAGGAACGACTGACAAAAAAGTTCAGTCACAAAACACTAAAATTTCGGAAAAAAAATCTTGAATGGAGGAACAATAAGATTTTCTGTTGATAGTAACATTAGCACTCAAGCACAAAACACTAACAGGAAATATATATATCCAGTTTACGGACCATAACCCACACCAGCAAGTACATATGAAAGCATCATAACATACTTCAAGGGTTCTCCCTTTTTTGGCTGAGAAAGATACCAATTAAATGCAAAATGTAAAGTTCACTTGCAAGAGTAATAGTACCAGGTGTCCAAGAAGACTGATAGGAATTATAAAAGTAAGGACAGCAGCTTCCAACTTCCCATAGCAGAGGCCTATGTGAGAAAACAATGGTTAGTCCCAAAGATCGGCAAAAAAAAGATGCAGTTGGGATCATTGATAAAGACAAAATACAAAATGGCCTAGATTTCCTGATGAGTAGTTTTTTTTTAGTACCAGATATTGAAAGCTAAATAAATCAATGATAAAGATTGGTCGAGAAGTCGAGAATGAGAAGTACACCAGATATTCAGGGCACTTGCCTTCTTTGAAAACCAGTCCTGTGAGAGAAGCAAAAACAGGACCCACAAGCCATACAGCAGTTGGGTTATGAACAACATATTGCACCAAGCCTTCTCCAGCCGGTTGAGCAAGGGTCGTATAGGTGACTAATGAACCAACGGTACCTAAGGCCCAAAGTGCTTGCAGGGTGCGCTTGATTTCGGTTACATAGATGTGAATCAAAAATAATGACAAACCCAGTCCAGTGGATCCCAACAGATAGAACAGATCTAAATTCTGCTTAAGGATGTCGCTTAACAAAGAGTTATCAGGCAAAAAAGCTGTTGAAGAGGCAAGAACAAAGGAGAGAGCTGCCGTCACAAGTCCAGACCTATATAAAATCACCTTTGGAATAACATACTAGAATTAAAAGGGTTGTCATCAAGCTTCAAGCATGATGAAACATCACCAAAACATAAGTACTAAATTGATAATAAAATCACTCTTGATCAAGAGATGTAACATTAATAACTAAATAGGACCATCATTTTTCTACTGGTTGACTAGCTAGTGGCTGGCTGTTGATGCAAAGAAGCTACACCAAATGGTAACTCTCACCAATCCCAAGTCCCCAAAAAGCACCACCAATACCATGCAAACCAATTTTCTAATATTTCTTTTTGTAATTTGTAAATAAAAAACTACACACACCAAAAAAAAAAAAAAAAAGGCTTTAAGAAAATTCAACATTAAGGACTACTCGAACAAAAATTCTCAACAGAAATAGGTTTAGGGCAATATTCACACACCAAAGCACCCAAATGGAATATAAGAAAACACAAAGGCTCTGTTTGCTTTAGCGGAAAACATTATCCTAGAAAATGTTTGTCATTCTCCATTGTTTGGTTATTAGTAAAGGGATGGAAAACAATTTTACCAAAGGTGAAAATAGTTCTCCCAAAAGTGGAAAATGTTTTCCTTTTAAAAGGATGATATGCCACATTTTCCTTCGTACTCCTTAGTCTTTACATCCTTTACCTTTGCGCTCATCCATCTTGTCCCTTCCACTCCTAATTCCCCCTTATAATAAAAATTTTCTTGGAAGGAAAACTATTTTTACAATTGTGTTTTCCCTAGGAGCTTAAGGCTTCGTTTATTTTGGTGGAAAACATTTTTCAAGTTCATTTTTCCAATTCCCTTTGTTTTTTTTTTTTTTGGTTAAAGGGTATAAAACAATTTTTCTTTTATTTTGGTGGAAAACATTTTACTTTTGTAAACAAGGTATGTCACATTTTCCTCTTTATTCATCACTTGTATGTTATTTCTCATTTTCTCCTCTATCCTACCCTCCCTTTAATTTCCAATTTTCTCTGTATGAACTTTCAATTAATCAAACAAACAACAAAAACCCTTTTTCCACAATCATGTTTTCCATTACAACAAACGGAGATTAGGATACCTCAGATGAGGCTACTAATCCTATTAACAATTGTTTTAGTATAAGCCTTAACTAAACTTTGTATAATCAATTTTATAAAGCAAGGAAATCATAGTAATAATAAACCAAATTAGAAGTTGAGACAATAATTAGTTAAAAATCTTAGAATGATAGAAATGGATACTGCAAAAAAAAAAAAAAAAAGAGGAGAAAGAGAAAACCTCACGAACGTCGGACGAGTCGATAGTCCAGGGACCGTAAACACCTTGAAAGACGTTTTGGGTTTGATCAATTGCTTTGCACTGAAATTGACGGGAATTTCTAATTCTTCCGATTTCTCCAAATTCAACTTTACCAAAATTCACTATTCTGTTGCTGCTGCTTTCTCCAAACTTCAATTTCAGTTGAGAATTTTGCTGATGACGACGAAGAAGAAGATGATGATGATATTGTTGCTGACAAATAGTGTTGATGTAATTCTTCTTCCTGATTCTCGTCATCTTAAACGGTCGACTCATAGTTGCTGCTGCTGCCCCTATTGCTGTCGTTTCCATCGCAATTCTTTCTCAAGCTTCAATAGGATTTTTTGTCTGGTTTCTTTTATCCTTTATGAGTAATTAATTGGAACCACCTCCTCGCTTCTTCCTCTCTCACCCCAAATTAAGTAATTATATGCGCTTTGTAGTAATATCATTAATTATTACTTGTAATTAGATTATCCCCGTACAATGCACGGTTTTTAACAAAAAAAAAATTGTAGTGTAGCACTTTTTAATTTTGATATAAACTTATTGAAAGGAGATTTCTTGAAATGAATATACGACTATACAGTATACATAATAGTTTAAATATTTCATGAATTTTTTTGTACGTTTGAATATTAGTGATAAGGAATTGAGGAGAGTTTATAATACGGAGTAGATCTTTAAATCAAAAGAAAGGTATAAAGTTGCTATTCAATTTACTACACTCCAATTTTCTAGATTAATGTTGTTGATTTTTTTTTTTTTTTTTTGTTATAAGAAGTTGTTGAAAGCATTTACTTAGCTTAGCTTGTTTATGAAATATCACAAAAAAAAAATTAAAAAAATATCATAATTAAAAGTATCACAAATAAATAATGACATCATCAATGGTTTTAGGCGGGAAAATATTTCATAAGAAAGCGACACATATGCAATTTTGAGGAGAAATGATGTCAGCAATGTTTTGTTTTAGTATTATTTAATAGATAAGTACAAATTAATTACTCATAAAGGATATAATTATTCGAAAAACTATAGTGATTTAGCAAAATAACAAGTACTCACATGATTATTTTGAATTTTAATCTCTCTAATATAAAGCACAAACTTTGGTAAATTGGATGCTTGTACATAGTGACAAAGTCAAACAGAATGTTTTTAAAAACAAAAGAGTACTAAATATACTACAAGTCTGTTCACATTTACTTAATTTCAGTTCAGTTCAGTTCAGCTCCAATCATTTCAGTTTAGTTCAATTTAGCTCCAATTAGTTCACTTGAGTTCAGCTCCTAATTTCCCTCTCTCATAAAATATTCTTTTCAGCTCAGTTCAGTTCAGTTTAGCTCCAGTCAGTTCAGTTCAGTTTAGCTCCAGTCAGTTCAGTTCAGTTTAGCTCAACTCAATTCAGTAAATGTGAACATGCCCTACATTTTTTTTTTATTTAGGAAAAAACAAAACGAGTAACAATTTGATTAGCATATTTAATTTGCTTATGTAATAAGTTTTTAGCCATTAATATTTGAATTGTGTAGCATTAAATCATCAATGTTTACGGTTTTGATTTTATGAAAATATGTAGAGTATATTAACAACATACTACACAATACTATATAGAAGTAAAAATTAAGTTAAAATTAGTATATAAATAATGCAAAAGACAAATGGTTAGGTTTATAATTAAATGATTACATACTGAGTTAACACAACAGTTTAGCTTTTATACTCGGTACGAGAGAGGGAGTCCACTTTACAAGTCCAATGAGGCTCCATCCCAATATGAGTAATAGGAGTACGTTACCCACCTCTTAGCCTTATAAATTGTTTAACTCTCTCATCTTTTATCAATATAATTACATGCATGTGTTATTTCAAAAGGTGACACCTTTAACGCATGTGTTATTTCAGAAGGTGACACCTTTAACGCATGGCAAACGTGAAATAAAATACATATATTACATCAAAAAAAAATTTATACGGAGTAGTTATAGATATTACTCTGTATTATTTACACGATATTTTCAATGTACATCACCTATAGCCCTCATAGCATGTACTCAATTGTACTGTTCAAAAGGTATACAAGTATATGAGTCGTAAATCATATTTAAAAGAATACAAAATTTAACAAATTCACAATTAATAATAGAAAATTTTGTGAGAAAGAAGAACCTTTTATATTGTCCATTTTATGAGAAAGAACCTGTTATATTGTCCATTTTGACGTACGACTAAAATTGTACAAGAATTAACGTAATAGTGCAAGATATATTTGGGAAAGAGTTAGGCTTAATAAGGGATGCATGGTTAGTTTAGAGCTAGCATGCAGATGATCAATTCATTATTTGGATTGAACAAAAAAAAAATGGTGGCACACTATAAAATAATGTTGGAGGTGTAGTGTAGGTTCAGCAATAATATAATCCAGAAAAAATAACACAAACAGAAATTAGGGCAACTCATATCTAGATGCATAAACACCATCATTTATCAGGACCAGGCCTCTTATTATAATTAGAGGAGCTACTACAATATTGAGAGGAGCTGTTGCTGCTGCTGGTGGTAGAAAAACTCTCGAAATCCCACTCTTCATATCGAGGTGGTGGCACGGCCTGATTCACTGATGAAGCCATGGTAGAAGATAAAGGTGAAGAGTGAGACGCCGATGATGTAGAATAATAATAGTTATTGCTACTAGTAATATTAGTATTGGCACTAGTTTGTGGATAGAGGTGTGTCATGAAATAGGGGAAGTTTACGTCGTTACTAGAAAGAAGTTGTGCGTATTGCACAAGATGTGGGTATATATTGGTATTATTACTAGTAGTATCTTGGTGATGCTGATGTGACAAAATCGAAGATGACATTTCGCTAGGAACTTGACCGTGAGAAGAAGTTGTAGCAGTAGTAGTAGCAGTAGCAGTAGTAGTAGTAGTAGCAGTAATAGTAGTAGTCGATGAGGTTTGATTCTGGTTGTTAGCCATGTAGTAATGAGGATGACCATAAATAACTCTTTCAGGGAAGTTGAGCTTGGCTTTGGTGCCTTTGAACTTCAAGGCTGCTTCGTCGTATGCGATGGCAGCTGCCTCGGCAGTCTCGAATGTTCCTAGCCAAACTCTTGCTGCTTTCTTTGGGTCTCTTATCTCTGCTGCCCATTTTCCCCATGGCCTTTGTCTTACTCCTCTGTAATGTCTTTTTTTACCACTTCCCTCACCTACTTTTTAAGCATGATCGTCAGTTATTTTGTTAAATTAAACTACGTTACATGCATGAAACAATGAGGTTTAGAGAGTGCATATATATATATATATATATATATATATATGTATATATATATATATGTACCAATTGAAGGATATTATTATAATTTGAGTCAAATCATATGACATGAAATAAAATGGAATTGACAGAAAATAAAAAGTACGAAAACCTACATTATGAGGTAGGTGCGTGGAAAATGCCCTTATATGCTTAGGCCAATTAAGGAATATGTGGGGATGACAGCTGACAATGATGAATTTACATATTGATTGGAGCTCCTATTTACGTTTAGATGCATGCATATATTTGCAACATGTAGAGAAAATGTTAAATACTACTATTACCAGCATATGATCAAACTAAGTGCATTTTCTCGTACGTTTATTTTCAATTCAGTTTAGTTCAGCTCAGCTCTTAATTTCCTTCTCTTATAAAATATTCATTTTAATTCACTTTAGTTCAGTTCAGTTTAGCTCAGCTTTGAGCTCAGTTTAATTCAGTTCAGCTGAGTTCAGTGTATGAGAACAGGCCCTAAGAGTTTCTATTTTAACAATAAATGTTACTCTGTATTACAATATTCTCTCAATTTTTAACTAAGTGCATTACTTTTATATATGCAAAGGGTTTTACTAATAGGCAAATGAACTAAAGTTAATATTCTATTGTGCGAGTGAGTTACTGCTTTAGGTCATATCCATTTCTCGATAGTAAATTTTCTTATTTTTTACTTCTTTGTAGATTAGATCACGGTCTTGCGAGAAGATGTACCTAATTTCCTTCATGTATCTTACTTTTCAAAAAGAAAAGAAATTAAAAAAAAATGAGTTACTACTTTAGACATACATGTACATCAATACATCATTAAGAATTTAAGATGCATGGAACTTGATATCTTCACCTGAATTTCACTATTTTTTTAATCTCGAACTTATCTTATTAAAACTTATTAGCTTTTATATTATTTTATCTAAACTTTTTTTTTTTTTTTTGAACGGTTATCTAAACTTATTGCCCCTTATTTCATCTTACTAATTAAAACTTATCAAATTTAAAACAAATAGAATTAAAGTGAGGAAAACCGAGCCTATGGAATACTACAAATAATTAAATTTTATAAAGAAATGAGTATAAATCCTTAATAACAAAGGAAGCACATACTGTTTACAAGGCATCTACTAACCATCTGGTTGATCAAACTTGTACCTAACCTTTTGAAGTAGAGCTTTCTTGAGCCAAACAAATTGAAAAAAAAAAAAAATTAAAGTTTCCAAATTGATACACGTGGACTTCTAGAAATTTCAATTGATATAGTAGTATATGGTCCAATATAGTGACGAAGTCGAAAACAACGATTAAAATTAGAAGAATGTGGTGATATTTGATGTAGACTTGTTCAAACAAAACCAAAGTATGAAATAATAATAGTAAGTAATCATGCTGTCTTAGTTAAATAATCTGTCAGTTAGGCAGACAAACAACAAAATTATATTCTTAATATATATATTTATAAATATATTAACGTCGGTAATTTAATTATTTTTTTAGAAAATAATTAAGGAAAAACAAAAAAAAAAAAAAAGAAAAAAAAAGGGAAAAGCTAAGAAAGAGAATCCCTTACGCATGTACTACTTACAAGGCAGGGAAACTCCAAAGAAATCATTCACGGCTTCACGCCAAACCAGCCAAGTGTGAACTTAAATAGTTCTTTCACTTTTTTTTTTTTTACTTATTATTTTCTTATCAATTTTGATCTTTTCATCTTTTTTAATAGCTTATTTACCTTATCTTTTTCTTCCTCCATTTTTTTCTAACCAATTTTGTAACTTTATTTTAGACACATACATACTAAGGCAAATTAAATGATGGGAACATATATAATGAATGAGATTAGAGCAATTGGTGTGCAAAGTTGAAAAAAAATAGCGGCAAGTGCGGTTTTTTGTGCTTGAGGTACTAGAGGGCAAAACGAGGAAAAAGTTCTCATAAAAGAAAAAGGTATAAGTTGAAAGAACAATAAAGATCAATTCTTTCGTATAAAGAAAAGATAATGAAGGAACCTAAAAGGACGAATAGAATAATAAGTTGAGTGTTGGATACAGTAATGGTTTGAATCTTAACTTTATGGTATCCATATTCGCTAAGCTGATTAGGGACAATAAATTGAGATCTCAACCACACATTCTAATTATATATATTAGATAGAATCTAATTCCTTAAGTAGAGCAATTATATTAGCTAAGCTAGTGCACAAATCTAATTACAACTAAGTAAAACTTACTAATTAGTTTTTAAAAAACAAAAAATGGAAAACCAGTTGGGATCTAATAGCAAATATAGTAGATGATGCTAATTAGTACAAACATGAAGAAAGAGTAATATAAATAGACGTACCAGTTGTAGTTGGTTGATCTTGAGAGGGGTGGTGTAGTGAAGCGTCATGAGGTGGTACGGCGGAGGAAGGAAGATGATCGGAATCGGAGGCGGAGGCCATGACTTGAGCAAGGGCTGAAACCATAGCCTTCATGTCATTCTGATCTCTCCAATCCATGACATGAGAAGCTACATCAGCTTGATGATGAGTCGAGGATGTTGATAGTCTTTTACCAGAAGCTTCATCTTCTTGTATCCGTTGTTGAGATGATGTTTGTTGGGGAAGTGGCCTTTTCCCATTATGCCCGCTTTCTGGATCCACTGTAACAGCCTCTCTAGCTAGTAGCTAAGCTAGCTCGAATCGTCGTCGTACGTATTACGTTCCTTCTCCGATGATATTATTAACGATCCGATAGCTAACAAACTAAGGATCTGATGAAATACATGATACAGAACTAGCAAGCTAAGTACTGTGAGTAGGAGATGCAACTTGATCTGAATTGATAATCACATGCAAGTTGTAAGCAACAATTGGGTTGTATGTGGGGCTTATATCTTCTAAACAAGGTAGCCTAGCTGCGTGCTACTAGTGGTCCAGTTGCGGCTTCTATCTCTATGCTCAACATACACTTGATTTTAGGTTCATTCAACATCTTTATTAGATATCTAATATGATATGAAAGAAAAAAAAAAAAAAAATAGGGTTTACTCTTTCACCACCTTTTTTTTTTGCCTCTTATAGTATTATGTGACAATTCAAGGGTTTTCTCATTAATATATATATATATATATATATATATATATATATATATATATATATATATATATATATATATACGGGGAGGTTCCGCTAAAAACAGGGCTTATGGTGAAAACTAAAAACAGAAAATCTCAACCATCCATTATTACTAACAAGATCTAACAGTTTAAAAAAAATAAAATAACATAGAGTCACTATATATAAAAATAACGTAACTATATACAAAAATACGGTAACTATATCAATTTTTACAACATTTGTCACTATATACAAAAATAGGGTAACTATATCAATTTTGATCCTATTAATAGAAGTCACTATATACAAAAATAGGGTAACTATATCAATTTGACAGCATTTACATAGAGGTCGCTATATACAAAAATTGGGTAACTGTTTCAATTTTGACCATACTACTAAAACTAGAACTCTAAAATATCATCAACAATTAAATGAAATGAACTTAAGCCACTGGGTTGAGCACGCATATCTTGAATTAAACCCAAGCAATCACTTTCCAGTTTCAACCACTAACTTATCAATGCCTTCGTCCAGCGCTAACTTCAGACCCCATAAAATTTCATTGGCCTCTGCTACCTTCGTATCCCACTTCTCAGGACCCTGAGCTACCCCGCAGCAAAGAACATACCCCACACTGTCCCTAAGAACAGAGCCCAATCAAGGACAAAGTTACTACATGTAAGCCTATCACTCAAGTAACTGTACCTCCAACCGCACAACCAGTTACCATCGGACCACCCTGCAACCATCAGCTCGCCACCGCACCAAATCTCGACTACTGCACCGCTTACCAAACACCGATCCGAGTAGTAGAAACTCCCGAACCACACCACGAGTAGCCACCTAAGCAAAGACCATCAACCGTAAAAGAATATCAAAATTCTAATTGCAAAACCTAGAAATCAAATTCGATACATAAATAGAAAAATTATAAATCATATTAAACATAATAATCAAACGAATATCAACCTAGCTTATCCAAAAACATTATATATAGGTGTAAATTAGAAAATCATATTATCGACCCAAAACAAATAATACCAAGAAATTAAGTTCAATTTTATCAAAATTGCACTGATATGAAACTCAAATAGACGTGAAAAAGCTCAAATAAATTGTAATTACTCCTACGATTTTGAAAATTAGATTGAAAAAATCAGTTTGATTTTAAACATAAATGTAGAAAATAAAAAAATTAAACAAAAAATATCAATGAAAAAGTCACTTGTGAGATTCACCTTTAAAGCTAACGTCAAAATTATTAAAGATTGAAGCAAAATCCACTGAAATTTGATGAGTTTAACATTTATTTTGAGTTGGAAGGAGAGAATGAGTGAGATGAGAGAGAAAAAATCAAGAGATTATGGAGGAGAGAGAAAAGAAACATACGGCATAATAGAGGAGAGAGAATGAAATGTTATTTGAACCAATTAAATTATTATGAAGTACGAAGTACTTCGTAGAAGGCATATATGATCTCATCCGTTAGATAGAAATCAACGATCTAGATTAACCGTTTTCAGTTTTCAGATTTAATCTTGTTTTTACATGATCCTCTTCCTATATATATATATATATATATATATATATATATATATATATATATATATATATATATATATATATATATATATAATCTAACTCCTAAACTGTGAGCCGCTTCTTCTACTTCACCTTTTTGGTCTTTTTAATTTTCTTATTAAGCATATGCTACGGAGTACTACATCTTAGTCAAAGTTTAAGTTAGTCAAAGTTTGTTTAAGATGTATTTTATCAAATCATCTACTGTATTATATACTCCCTTTATTTCATAATAATATCAACACTTTATTATTTAGACTAAATTCACTTCATTTTATTTTTGCTGAACTAAAATTATTTAAACCGGTTCTCTACTCCAGTATTATATTTTTGCTTTAGAGTTACTGATTTTTACTGAACTAAACTTATTTATATAGAATATTATTTTTATAAGGTGATGAACTGAACAGGGCATAGTAACAACTTATTACTCCCTCCGTTTTTAAATACTTGCTCCATTTCTGTTAGACACGTATGCCGATGCTAATTTTTTATCACTAATATCTTTAATTATTAATAAGTATAAATTCTGACAATTGAAAATTAATAATTTATTCATTAAGATGATTCCAACAAGTATCCACAAGAATATATTTTTTCTTATGTATAAATCACAAACATTAGTCAAAGTAGAACAAATGAATAGTGCAAAAAATAGAAATGGAGCAAGTATTTAAAAACGGAGGGAGTATTACATACTTTGTAGTATTTTTATTGTATCTCTCTCATTACTCCATCAATCCATCTCACAAATATTTTATTATTTTAGTTCTCTCATTTACTAACAATTAAATACATCCTCTAGCCACCAACTATACTTCATTTTTTAAAAGTCCTATTTCGCTCCCACCTTATAAGTTTCTTTAAATTATGTGTAATGTCTAGTGCTGTGAACTTGTGATTATTAGTTTTATTATCAAAATGGAGGAAGTATTTTTTTTTTTATTGTTCGACTTCTATGATTCATTGTGTTACCCAGATTCATTCAAAAAATCACGTACAATCTTACTACAATACTACTTTTAGAAATTCTAATGTTTTAAAAATCTTTCTCTAAAATTACAATAAAATTACATTGTTTAAGTGTAATGAGTGACCATGCAAAGTTTTATTTGATAAAATATTCAATATGAAACAATCATACGTAGTTTTATTGAAATTAAGTTTTATTTGATTCAACGTGCTATACATTTGTTAGATTTAAATATTCTATGTAATGTCGTACATATGCCTTTTTATCAATTAATTAACTTTACTATACAGAAGAAGGAAAAAAAAAAAAAAAACCTTTAAATGCATATTCTATCATCAAAACTGTGCCTTAAACTAAGTTAGAGAAATGTATTAGATAAAATGTCTAGTTTGTTAAATTATCAAAAAGTAGAATTCTTAAAGGGATTTTTTTTTTCAAAAAAAAAATTTAGTTCATTAAACACATTTGGAATAAAAATGAGAACTTAACCATCAATCAATCATAACATATAGAGAAGATTTTCATGCATATTAACATATAGATAAGATTTTCATGCTAATTTTTCATCCTCAAAATTTTTTTTCAAATATCATGCAATTACATTTGGTATTATGCTTACGAGGTTATTAGTCTTTCTCACTATACTAGACTCAAAATTACAAAAAGTAACTCTAATGCTCAAGAGTCGAGACACTAGTTAAAAAATAAAATATGCAAGTTACAAACTAAAGTAATGGCCTTATTTATTTCATAAACTTATATTTATAGAGTTAATAAGCTATGGTTAGTCAAATTCAAGTCGAAAATTTTAACAACCTTAGCTACATTTTGTTCTTTTCTTTTTTCGATTATGAATATTCAAATGTTTTTCTCATTTGAAATCTTTTGATATATTTTAAAATAGAATTCGATTAATTTTACTTTATCTAGCTATTTGAGAAATGTGTCCACACTTTTCTCTTCCATACAATTTTTTAAATAACTTTTCACTTACTAAATTTTCCTATGCATTATTCCAATATTAAATCACCATTCTCTATTCCCAATTCCTACATTAGTTACATACTTAAATTGTCCATTTTTTCATGAAAATTCAAATAATAAAAATCTGAGTAAATAAAACACTCTAAATATCACAATTTTCTTAAAACTCTATTTTTTTAAGTTTCACTTTTTCATTTTTGCAAACATTCTATTTCTAATTATATCTAATTTTCTTTTAGTTATTATAATTACACTAAAATTATTTTTTTCTCCTCGTGGTCCATACTCCTAACTTATTTTACTACTACGGGCCTGTTCATATTTACTGAACTGAGCTGAACTGAACTGAACTGAACTGATTGGAGCTTAACTGAACTGAACTGAACTGATTGGAACTGAACTGAACTGAACTAAGCTGAAATGAATATTTTATGAGAGAGGGAAATTAAGAGCTGAACTGAACTGAACTGATTGGAGCTGAGCTGAACTGATTGGAGCTAAGCTGAACTGAACTGATTGAAGCTGAACTGAACTGAACTGAAAATAAGTAAATATGAACAGGCCCTACATCTGTTTCATATTATTTACAACGATTAGACATTTTTCCTCTCTACTTTATGTCAAATCGTTGCAAATAATATGAAACGAGGTAGTACGTATTATTTCAATAAATCATACAGCCGATGATATATTTCTGTTAAAGATAGTAATAAGAGCTAAATATCTTCCTACTCATTCTATAAATAAAATACGATAAAAAGTGTAACCTTTTTATGTTGTTCATATTATTAAAGTAGTTTCACCCGTGGTTTATAAAAATAAGATAGATGAAAATGAAAGTCCTAAACGTACTTATGATTAGCATTTAGAAAATGGGGCCTCCCACTTAATTTTCGCCGGGAGATTAGTACATACTTGCATCACTAAAGCATGCATGGAGTGTCAAATTGCCATAAACGACAAAAACTATAAAATAATAAGATAAAATAAAAAGAGAATCGAGACCTCATAATTATTATTATTAATCCATCAAATTGTCATTTTCCTTGATGAAAGAATGACCCGATACATTCGAATTAGACATAAAAGAAAGCAACATTAATACTTGTACTTGTATAAACACAAGTCTCACATTTAGCACTTCATTCCCATCACAAATTCACCATTCACATGTCTACTAGACTACAAGGGTCAACGGTACGATCAATACTACCTTACCCTAGCTATCGACAATACGTACTAATGTACCACGGTCCACGCCCTCCACGGTACGATCAATACTACCTTACCCTAGATCACTATCCATATGAACTAATGTACCCCCGACATTTCAAAATTAAGGACGACAATTTAATTGGTTGAAATCTTAAGAGTGGTATCCAAAGACTCACTATTTAACTTCATAGAACTAACCAACCACTTGCAACGCACTCCACCACCACCAGACACCGGTCCATCTCATCACCCGCACTGCCCTGGCTCCCTCCCCCGCTCTCCTACAATGAACTAGACCCAGCTTGCCCATCCCATGATATTGCTGGTAATGCCATTATCTACCAGCTTTTTAAAACAATCAAAAGGGGCAGTCAAGATTTATCTACACCCACATCTCCCTACTTAATGAGACTCCTCCCAAACTTTAACTTGTAAACACTACAATTCCATATTTTATCACTCCAAGTTTAAAACAGCAATGATGAATCGATTTTGTTCATCTTAATCATCACAAACCCCAATAAATCCAAATATAGCCCATACTAGTCATCAAATTCTCAAAACACCCCTATTTGTCTTCAAAATTCAGAAAACAGCCCTGCAATGAACAAGCATTTATCTATCATAAACCAGGCAAAGTTTAATAGAGGGCATCACAGCAATAACTACCAACACTCGAATCAAACCCCATTCATAGCAGCAGTCTTTTCAAATGTGATCAGAAAGCGTCCTTCCTACTTCCTAGCCAGGAAATAAGTTCACCCCAACCACCAATATTACTAGCACTAAACAAATATGTACCACAAGCCTCTATATAAACTATCAGCAATTACCAGACCCACAAATCCCTTTCCTTAACAAAGTGTCTAATCGTCACCTGGTATATAGTGACAGCATGTATACAAGAAGATAAGGGGGCTCACAGGAAGCAATCTCCAGCCATTACTTCTACAATGTAACTAAAGAAAGCAATAAACTTTATATTCAAAGCTATTGCCATTTGGATTCGAAAATGAAAATATACAAAATACACCTTCCCTGGGCAATGCAACACCATCCCATATAACAAGGACAAGCTATCCCATGATGGTACAGTTTTTTAAGTGAGCAAATGACCAAAATAAGTTGTTTGGACGATCCCAATACTTCCCACATGCAACATTGAGGCTCTTTTTAGACAAATACACTTTTGGTGAGAAAAATGGTTATCCAAAGCTCCACCTACTGTACTGAACCTAACCCCTTGTCTCAGAAAATACACCCTTTTCACCACCAGCATTTACAGAAATGCATTACTACATTACTTTGGGTAAAGAATGTCATAATGACCTGGACGATAAAGCAAGGTTATGTAAGGATTGATCTCCAAGCCGCTGCCACCACTTGACAAGGCAGAAGGCACGAAATCATGGTGATTTACACTAACACCACCAGTATCACATGAGCTACGGTCCAGGTATACAACGCGAATTGGCACACCTAATGCATCTGATAGAGCAATGATGTGAACATGATCACTTTCTTCACCCATAGGCTCCACCGATGATTTGCAAAACTACACATAACAAACAATTTATAAAATACTAAGCAAGTTAAGAGTCCATAAAATATTTTCAGATGTTACATACAGAAATCTACCTACCAAAATGACAACTAGTTTCTTACATAATTACTTTTGTTAGCACAAACTTGCAATTATTTATTGATACAAGTAGGATAGTGAATGAAAAGGACAACAGCTAATATGTTTAGAATGTAGCAAACAATGCAGCAAAATTTAAAATTATAAAGTTGAATTTATAATTCTCAGGCTTCCCAAACCATGGCAGAATATAGAAAAGAAAAGGCAATATTACTACCATCCATAAAATTAAACCATACGAAAAACAAAAAAAAAAATAATAAAAAAATAAATAAAAAAAAACTGATCTAAACCAAACCAACATGTCATTCTTTTACACAACCAGGGAACAATTTATTAAATCCAAGACAATACCAAGGCATTTCATTATGAATCAACAAGGGGCAACAATTGAGGATAAGAATAAAGATGCTACCCAGTCAAATCATTATAAATAGAATGAGAATTCCAATTTTTACTTTGTAACTGCTTCATTATTAGTGTAAATGTCCAAATATCTCTTATTCAGGTATATAACTGTTTCATTATTAGTGTAAATGTCCAAAGACAGGGGAAGTTGTCAACAAGGTATGCCACTGTCCAAAAGGCAACATCAAATGGGAAGGGGAGGGGGGATGTGGAGAATAGGTTTAGGTACTATCATGGTTGAACTTGATGCATATGGGACATTAACAAAGCAGATCGAAATGGATGAAACAGCCTACAAAATACAAAGAAACCGCTGCTACAATCAATCAACATGGTTCTAATAATTGTACGTATCAATTGCATGGTGAATGTCTATAGTTACTCAGTATAAACAACAAAAAGACAAAATTTTGCATCTATTGAAAAGCAGAGGAACATATTATTGGTAATTACTTGCAAGCACATTTTTCATAGGAAAGACCCCTCTTTCCACTACCTACATGCTAGTAAATAAGGGGCAATTAATTTGGGTGTGCTTCTACACCACATAGACGCTACCGAATAGGGATGGATAATTGTTACCCACATATAGAGATTATGCATATGTTCCTATCAAACCCAAATCAGACCCCACGTAAAGGGAATTCCAATACCACAATGGGGAACGCTCATTGGTAAGCTATTTGGAAATTCAAACTTTTGCATCTAGGAGATGGCAAGGGGAGCATATAAAATTTTTGAACACCACATGAAGTTTTTACTTTCCTTTTCCTTCATAGAGTTAATAAGGATTAACCAAAGCATAATTATAGAGAATACAACGAGAAAATCGTTATTGATCAATAAGCTTCAAAATCTACACTTTTCCAAGTAATAACATCTTGTAGATCTCATGTCCGTATCTCAAAATAATTAATTTTTCTAAATCGTAAGTTCATTTAATTCTTCACTTAAATATATGTTCACATTTCACGTATGCCCCTGAGGTTCAAAATCATACACAAGAAGTTTATTTCTATATCCATATATCCCCTAGTATCCACCTCACTGTAGTTATCCATCCATAAAGTAACATCATCAACCAACCAAAAGCAATGTTAGAAGATGCTCAGCAACTCGCACTTTACTAACAAAACCACACCTTAGGGATGAACTCCAAAACACAAATTAAAGACCAAAATCCAGATGCACTTCCCATAAATACCTTCTTAATACATCCTAAGGCTGGATATATACAACTTGATACAGGTTAACAACAAAAGGGTTATTTTTGAGGACCTGTCAACCTGTCACAGATCCCACTCCCAGAAAAATGGGTTGATTTGTTCTCCCTTGCATTAGGAAGCCTTATCCGTCTTATGTGAGGAAAATGACTACTCTAGATTCCTAGCTAATCATTTCTAAGTAATTCAACTAACTCTACTTCCCTTACTATCCGACAAATACAATAACAATAAGGACCTAAATCCACCGTCTTGGCTATCTAGCTCCCAAAGACACCAGTACTTTCTAAGGTCAAACAGGGGTCAGGGGTGACAATGAGCTTAGCACACTAGAAAATCAACCTTCACCTATAGTTCATATTGAGGCATGAACAAGCAAACCATATTAATCAAGTTAAACTAAAGAATTATAATTTATGAATAATAATACACTATCCACAAATAACCTCCATGTTAGGCATAGTCCTGCATATTAACAAGCTTAGTAGGGTGAAGTGAGGATGTGAGAAAAAGAAAGGAAGTAGAGGGGACCACATGACATAGATTGAGCGTAAGATTTTTTCCATACCAAGTAATACGGAGATTTTCTGTGGATATCCTAAAAAAAATGACAAAAATAGTAGAGTAGAAAATTCAGAATTATCACTGATTATTAGCAAAAAGTTAAATATGTGTATCATAGCTTCAAAGAAGATGATTTTGTTAAGATGGTTTGGCTGGTTAAGGCCCTAAGTCAACTTACTCTCTTCTTTACTATATTTTATTTCTTCACTACACTATCTTCTTACAACTCATAAAGGATCCCCAATTAAACATATCTGACAGAAATTCTGCCAACAAAGAAATTTGCTGTTGCAACTTAAAATAATTTTTACCCAAAAATAAAATAAAATAAACTAAAAGTAAGTGTCTAACTTCCAATTTAAAGCCAAAGACAAACCTGATCCACAGTTGCATTAGTCAATCCCAGTATGAAGGGTTCAAAGAACTCCGCACGCTTTCGTATCTCCCCAGATGTTATGAATCTAAAGAACATTACAACTAACCAACACATATTGTCAACAAACAAAGCAAGAAAGGAAAGTCAATAATAGATGCTCAACATGTAATATAACCCACCATAATCAGATATTGATTGATCCCGACTCCTCTCAACAAGCTCGTCATGACTGATAAAACAAAAGAAACAAAATGAGATCATGCTAGCATAAGTTTATGTGAGGGGACATCAAACATATCAACAAGAGGACATAAGAAGCCAACAAAGAGGACCTTATTGAAGCTTCAGTCCCTTGAATAACGTTTTCCAGCTGCTCAAGAAATAGCTGTAGACATCCGCCACAAAAAAAAATTTATAAATTAGAGCAAAAAAGTAAATTGTAACACTTGCAACATAGAATAAAAGACACAAAAAATTTATTTATAATTAATTGAGGCAAACGGTATAGTGGTTGGACACGAAAGTAAGATCATGGGACTAAAATCAACCGCAGCATGTAAGGTATATAATGAAATTCCTTTGATTGTATACAGAAATGAGAAAGTGCATTCACCCCAAAAAAATCTTCAAACGTAAAGTCTGCATAGCCAAGACTCTGGAGTGTCTTCCGGCACTCTTCAACATTAGCCTTGACGCGATCTACCTCAGCCTTGTCTTGAGTTTCTAAAATATGCTCCTAAAATCACAACAAAATAAGAAGCCAAGAAACTGAAATCGGTAACAAAAAGAATAGAACAGAATACACTACTAATTACATATCCACAGAAAATGTAGGCTCCTACCAAGTATGAGAACATGAAACTTCTGAAAAAGCAATTCCCATCTCCTCGAGTTCGCCTAATTGCAGAGTATTTTTCATCAAGAATCTGCTCAGCAGATAATGAGAATCATTTATAATCATCATTTTTCATATATAATTATCATGCACTCAAAATTAAACACAAAATATCAAAAAAGAAAGCGAATTTAAACCTTGATCTTTTCAAGCAGAATAGAACTTCCTGATTGATATTCAGCAGCTAAAGCAGAAAGAGGTTCCTACATAAAACAAATGCATCCAATCACAAAAACTGATTCAATCAAATACAGAATAATCTACAATTTAGGTTACAAGTTCAATCAAAAGAGGGCCAACTATAACAATGATCATTCAAGATTCGAACAATTAATGACCTAATTTTGTCGTAAACATAAAAATTGGGATTAAGAATTATTGCAAACTTGTAATCAATCGAATCTTAGGGTTTTGAAAACAAAGAAATTAAGAAATGAAAAACCTTATCTCCCAGAAAATGGATTTTGTCGGCTTGTTCAGCGCGAATAGCAGAATGTTGAAGCATGATATCGTCATCCCTGAAATTCTCCCAATCAGAAGCAGAAGCAGAAGCAGCAGCAGCAGCAGCAGGATTGGAGTTGCTTTCTTCCTGTTGTTTCGCCATAGATTTCGATTTCAAGCTCTTCTCCTTGATTTCTTACAATCGTCCACTGATACTAGCCTACTACAGTATTATTTGTATCAATTTTATGTTGCAACGAATTTTATCGTTGATACCAGTACATGTGTCTACAGCCCATTAGGCTTTTAGCTTTCATTAGCCAAAAATAAAGTACGAGAGATTGTTATATATACCGGATTTACGGTATCAATCATAAGCATTTTGTTCTCAATTTGATAATTGTATTTTTATTTAATTATCAAATGAAGAGAAAAGATTAACTTTGCGTTAGTTAACGGCACGATACACGGAGTTTGTATAAAATATTTTAGAAAAGTGCCAATATCAAAATACCGTATTGAATTACATAGGTTATCTATTACTCCGTATTAATATAATATGATCTTTTGTAAAACGTATTTATTACACGTAATCAAAATGCAACATTTACCTCTTTACAAGATATTATGTGGTTTTTTATAAAAACCGAATGGTAACAAGGTTGCTAATGAGCTAGATCGTATCAAATTATTAATGCTAATTAATTATTAAGGAGTGTCTCAAATTGTTACTCCGATGATATTTAATGTAAAAGATGTATAGATATTTAATGTGAAAGATATATAGAGAGAAATGAAATTATATTGCAGCATAGGGAGTAATTTTTTGGGAAATTCCCATTGGTACACCCGTGGTTTTGACTTTTCCCATTGATACATTCCAAAATTTTTGTCTTCCCGTCGGTACACCCATGGTTTGATTTTTTTCCCAACCGTGACTAACACCGTTAAAAAGTATTTCATTAAGTTAAAATAACTAAGGAAAAGACTATAATACCCTTTTTAAACATCTAATGTCTCGATTTGCGTGTCAAAAATTGTTCAGTTAAAGTTTTGGGAGTCCTAGTCATTAACCGAACAATTTTTGACACGCAAATTGAGACATTAGATATTTAAAAGGGGTATTATAATCTTTTCATTAATTATTTTAACTTAATAATATACTTTGTAACGGTGTTAGTCACAGTTGGGAAAAAGGCTAAACCATAGGTGTACTGATGAGAAGACAAAAATTTTGGAGTGTATCAATGGGAAAAGTCAAAACCACGGATGTATCAATGGGAATTTCCCTAATTTTTTTTCTTGTTTTCAATCAGTTTTAGATTATAGATGTTTAGTTATAAATTTATAATAAATCTCTATTATTCAACATATTTTGACCTATATTTTTTAGTTTCGTTTTCTCCTTCCTAGAAAGGGTTTGTAATTTAATGTTATCTCTTTTTTTAAAAAGGGGGAATAGTGCATTTAATTAATTAGAATGATCGTCCAACAATATCTATGGGGAAATCTTATTAGAAAGTGATTCACCCAACATTGTTCAACACCGCCAAGCATTATCCTAGCGAGATGATGGACAACTAAATTCCCATCTCTCTTCACATGAGACCAAAAAACTGAAACAAAGCTATTGCACTCCTGGAGTCCAATTCCAGGATGATATTGCTGAACCCAAATTCCTTCGCCTTCCTGATCCCAAACAGAGCAACCCTGTACTCTGCTACAAGAGGTTCCCAGCGAGCCTGAACCCTCCTGACCGCGGAAAACGTAACAGCCCTCATGCTGTCTCGAGCCACAGCACTCACACTAATCCAGCCGTCTTCCCGAGTTGAGGCATCAACGTTGATCTTCACCACTTCAGTAGGTGGGGGAGACCAAACACCCCCTGCTAACAGACTGCTTTACAGTGACAGTGCTGTAGATTCACTCTGTGTAATTGCTGAAGTCTACCACCAGTCTCCTATGCCTGTCAAGAATAACCTCATCAGGTTCACACTGCTGGCTCAAACACCCATTTATTTCGTCGGAACCAGAGGAATTAGGCCAAGAAGAGTTATCTAGTTGGTTCTTTGATGAAAATTTATGCAATATCATGTTGCTGTTATGTTAGGCCAAATTGCTGCTGAAAATGCATTTGTTGATGACTAATTCACTTGATCGCAACATTTAGATACAAAAGTGAGGAATCATAGAATATGCAACATTGCAAGCACATCTTGGCAGCAGTTGCATGAAACAATAAAATCAAAATTTTCAAATTAAAAGTCTTTTCATAAATTTACCCTCGGAAGGGTATAATGACAAGAATGTCAACATACAAAGTTAAAAATAGGAAAATCAGTAAAAGGAGTTCAGCCCAGGAAACCTTCTCCCAGCTGCTGTAGAGCTCTCTTCTATCTTCACCACTTATATACACCTACGGAGTATATATTTACGAATAAAGTGTATTTATAAGACTCAACACCAATCAAAATTTTGAAGCTCCAGTTGTTGCTCCATTTACTAACTCTCCTCGTAATTACATGCACCGAGAGTAAACTCTCTCAATGCGTATAGTTAGATTAATCTTATTATTGTTGATATTAATCATGCAAAGACTGCATGACCAGTGCCTCACCTCACTCCTTTGGTCTATTTATGCACATCCTTTTCTTAATTTCTCCCTCTTCATCCTCACCGTTTCCTCCGTATAACACTTTTAACTTTGAGTTTAGTTCACTGTTCAATCTGATTCCTTTCCCGAGCTTGAAGATGATTCTCCACAAGTATATTCTTCCTTGCTAACAACATTAGGAGGGCTCTCTAGTTGATTTTCCTCATTATTGCAGGATCTTGATTTACCAGGTCTAGATCTAACGTTAACACCCATGGGAAACGGCACCTGTAATTTAAAAAAAAAAAAAAAAAAAAACAGGAATCAGAGAAACGATGCAGGGTTACAGAATCACCCACCCATCACAAATAAAATATACTTCATACCATGTATCACCAACAGGATCAACATCAATTATTAAATTATTAACCCAATGTAGTTGAAGAGGCTTTGTAAAATGGGACAACATTACTGCAAGTCTGCAACTATAATTGTATACAATGGTAATACGTATTATAGGTTTTTTTTTTTCTTTTTTTTTTTTTTTTTTGGTGTGTGTGTAAAAAATAGAGAGAAAAAGAAAGAGGAGCAAAATAAGTCAAGAGTTGGTAATATATTTGCTCGATGATAGCTTGGTGATGCTCATACCTGATCACCAGCATTGGTGCCATCGCTGTGGAAAAGAATAGGTCTGCATCGCTTGTCCTCATTCATTAAGCTAGAATTCTGAAAATGAGCAACAAGAGCAGCTTTGCCTTGTATGCGAGCATAAGCAAGTGATGCAACCTTTTCACTGTTGAACTTTTCCCATTTCTTCCCATTTAATGTCTGCCCATTTCAAACTTTCAGGTCAAAATACACTCAGAAGTGAGCAAAAAATGAAAATTTTGAATTAACAAGCCACTAGTTAAGAGTTGAAAAGAAAACAAACCTCATAGCATGAGATGATATGGCTAGGATCAATCATGTTGATAAAGGCATAACCCACATTGCACTTGTTCTGCATAAAATGAGGATAGGTGTTAAGGAAAATACAGTCCACACAGAGTATAACAAAAGGTAAATCTCGTTTAGGTCCTGTCTACACATAATAGATAGTCACCGGATAAAAGTAAACTTACCTTAAAATCAATTGGTAAATAGATGAAGTCATAAGTTCCACGGTGGCGTTCATCAATGGCAGCCATAAGCATCTTGGATGTATATCTACAAACACGTAAAACGTGGTAGGGAGCAAATACAATCAAACATGAAAAATGTCAAGTTTAAGAAACTAAAAACAATTCACTAGGATTGATTCAATTAGTCCATTGACTCCAATCCATTTTTGTGGGATATATAGCATAAAAAAGATTAATTATATAGTAATTTAATTCACTTAAAACGGAAATTCTACGTACTTGTTAGGAATATTCTTTATCATAAGAGTGGTTCGATTGTCTTCCCCCCGCCTAATGCGGTCGAGATCAAGTTCATATAGTTTCTTGTTGTCAGCTTGAGCAGAAGAGCCATCACTTCTATTTCTTCTAGCACGTTCAACAGGATGTTCAAATGAGCCTGCCATGTTCATCTGGTTCCTGGGGGGATAAATCATGCCTCTTTGATGATGGGAATTCAGAACATTTCTAGAAGAGATTGGTAAATCCAAGCTGTTTCCACCGACATGAGGAAATAAATTATGAGGAACAAAATCCATGTGGTGCAGAGGGCTGCCTGAAAGTCTCATATTCCCTAATGGACCCTGGTGGAAGCCAGATGCTTCAGGCGACCCCCCTGGATAAGAATTTTGCCTATCCCAAAGAGAGTAGTTAACAGCTGGTGCCGATCCCACATGATGGGGTTGAATTGAGTTCAGCATATGAGATGGTGATCTAGTGAATCCATGAAGCTGATGTTGGTTTTGAGGACTACAAATCCCATTTGATTGCGAAGGGGAGTTTGGCCACCCAAAAGCTGGAGGTTGGTGGTGATTAGTATTACTCCACATGAAATGATGCCCGGGAAGAGATCCGCTCGCATTCCCAGATGTAGAAAAATCTAACAGAATAAAAGGTACAGTATAAGGAGTTTAGACATCCATCTGATTGATCTTAACTAAAATAAGTAAATTTCATTCTGTACATGCCTAGATTGACTAAGGGATGTTCACAAAGGAGATGCAAAAATCTCAAAACACACATACCGTTACACATTTCGACATTTGAGCTTATTCGGCCCAAGTGATTATTCTCAACCAGGGAACTAACAATAGCAGGCACGTAACCGTCAGAATTGCAAGAAACACTATTAGCTAAACCATCACTATACTTTGGAACTGAGCAAGGATAAAGAGTTGGCAAGCCTCGAAAATCATAATTTACTTGGCTAGCTAACTTTCCAGACTCAGAGAGCCCAGCTTGATAGCTTCCTGATTCAGCTCTGAGAAGGGATGGTAAGCCATTGGGGACACTAGAAGAGATTTCATGACGAGCAGAATTATCTATGAATGAACCCAGAGTTGCCTGTATGCCGGCACTTGTAACACAACTAGCATCGCTTTCCATGCTAATAGAGCTGATGGAGCTGCTTGAAATCCCTGAAAATAATGTTTCTAACATTTAATGATTAGAGTATCACCCCTTCACATTTAACCAACACAGAACAAGTAAGAAAGTTTCCTTACCAGCACTACTTTGCTGTACATGAATACCGGATTCCTCTTGCTCCATATCTGGGGGCAATGGTTGCATTAAACTGCATAAAGTGGAATAATAATCAAAAGAAAATAAAAGCTCAAAGAGAAAGGGAGAGAAATTGGCAACATGCTACTGAAACGTAGGTTTCAGAAATTTTGTATTATACTTCGTAACATGAATTTTTGCTTCAGCAAAATTGTGGAATTATACTCAGACTCTGCAGAGAAATCTTTAAAACTTGATACCTTCGTCTTGCTCCCCCAGGACGACTTGGTTCAACCTTTATCTTCTTACCAGCAATATCACTTTTGTCCAATGCACAGAGAGCTTCATCAGCAGCTCTGACATCGTAGAATTCTACAAACTTTTGGTTACTTCTGTGTGGGATTTCCCGTATCTGTGGTACATAAAATGAATTTGTTATATAATGCCCATTTGAAAGTGGTACTTGTGCACTGAAGAACATCAGACACTAAAAGTGTTAGCATGTGCAAAAAATAATTGACATACTTACCTCCTTAACCTCTCCATAAGCACCAAAAATCTGACGAATATCATCGATTGTAACAGAAGCATCAAGGTTAGATACCACTAGAGTTCCTTGGTTTACATCCTTATCTGAAGGATTGTCCTAAACAAATCAATCATGGGGAGGAGCATGAGTGTATTCCAATTTGATAACTCTACTGAAAGCCAAGTCAAATGCATGAAAAGCTGAAAATAAATAATTATTACCTTTGGGATTGAGTAATGTATATCAAGCCTCCTTCGTCTCAAAGGCTTATTTTGAAGTGCCTTCATTGCATTCCTTGCTGCTCTGATGTCAAAGTATGAAATCATAACAAAACCCCTATGTTTGCAAGCTGTATACAGGGTGCGGATATCTCCATATTGCTGCAAGTTTAGGACAAACAATTAGATTAACAATCCTCTGTCAAATTTCACAACTGCAAAATCGAGACAAGAACATAATTAATTTGACTACATTCCAATCATCGCAAGTGATAAACAAAAAAACTCCTACACCTACCTCAAAGAGAGCCTGCAACTCGGAATCTTCAACATTGCTATTAATGTTTCTCACAAACAAAGTGCGGTACGGATGTTCTCCATAAGGATGTTCCCCATTAAAAGAGATACTAGTTCCAGTGAGTTGTCCGTTAAAGCTGCAAGGAAATTCAGAATTCCTTTGTACTGCAGATGATGTATCATCTCCTAAATCCATCCCTCCAACACTATTAAAAAGGTCCAAATCTTCTATGTCATCCTCTCCTCTTAGTTGAATCTTACTTTCAATCCCATCAACAACAACTCCAGAGAGCAATTCATCATCATCAGGAAGCAGATTTCCTATGGTCTGGGCCTCAATTTCCTCAAGGGACTGAAAAGGTTCTTCCTCCTCATAGTGCGAGGCAACAGTATCAACAGAGTGACCATGGAAGTCGTCATTTGAGGATAGTTGCACTATAAAAATGGATTAAGAAACATTGAGAACAGATTAGTCATTCAGCACAGAGGAGCATGACAATCACCAGTTCACCATATAACAGTGTCATGGGAATTTGAGCTAATATAAGAAAATCAAAATGAAGTAACTGTGAGGGAGAATGACATAGCAGAAAAGTTAAGTTTTAGCATCTTCTCATGTAAGGGGGGAAAATAAAGACACTTACACTTTCGGGTAAACATCTCAGACATTGAACTTGAAAATAGCCCATTTTCATAGTGAGAAATTGTGTTATTCTTCTCCCATGACTGTTGTGCATTAGGATTTGATCTAGCGACAGGATTAAGGTCCATAGAACTCCACAAATTCAAGGACCGACTAAGAGCTCTTTCTGCTCCCACTGCATGTCTTTGCAAACTAAAGCTGACCGTCTGTTCAAGATTTTCATGACCATTGGTTGCTAGAGAATCCACATGTACTAGTTTCTCTAAAGGTGATCCAGCAACAGGAACCCCGCATGAAGTGCCAGCAATTGCATCTGTCTTCATACCTGCAAAATTTATAGTGGAAAAAAAATCATTTCTCCAACAATAATTTCAGGTTTCTTAAGTACATACAGAGAAGAATGAAATCAAACCAAGCTGATGATAAAAAGGAGGGATCATATAGAGACAAGCAATCACATCCTACTTTGCTGGCCGAAAGCATGGATTCACATCATGTTTAGCATAGTGTTTATGTGGTGGATTTGGAATCAAATTTGAGTTTCCACTACTTGAATCTGTTTGGATAGCACAATAAGAGGGAAAGGAAAGGGAGAGGGGAGGCCGGGAGGTAGAGCTCTATTTTCCTTCAATATCCTCCCATTTTAGAGGAATGATGTTTATCAAAAATGGAGGTTTCCCTCCCCCAATGCCTTATCCAAACAAAGTGTTAATGCTTGTTGTCATAGATGAGGTAGCACAATCCATTTCCCGAAGGTAACCATTACCACTTTTCATAACCTTTCTCAACTCCCAACGGTAACAAAAATGTTTCCCTCCTTAATCCCGAATTTTTAATACAGAGTACTAGGAATCCATTCCCCTTGTCTAGAACAAATAATGGTAACACTTACATTATCCTATTATTCATAAATAAGTAAAGCATACCCTTTCTCCTTCTTATATTCATACCAAACATGCACTTACAAAATAATCTTTGAACTTAAGTATACATAGCACTTACATGGTCTGATTTACAAATTCCATTGAAAATGTATTCTTTCATTAACAATAAAATGTTTCACTTTGTTTATTTCCTTAAAAATCCAACTATATGTGTGTTGGTTATAATCTAGTTTCCTAATCAATATTGGTTGATAAAAAGAAAATCCAAGGAATGAAAATGAGCAATACATCAAGGTATGAGATGGCACACTCTATCACCATCAATTTCTCAATTCCGGGAAAAAAGAATGGATGACTAGTTGACTACTCCAATAAGGCATGACAGAATTCGTTATGTACATTGTCGCTCCATCTCTGCATACTATGCAATGACCATTAAAGAGCCTAATTTGCCTACATAAATACATAATTGAAAGAAATTCTTAATTCGTATGTAATTATTACCTTCAATAACAACTTTCCATACACATTTTCAGATAAAATTCAATGAGTATTACACTGCAAATATTACACAAGCAATTCTAAGCAATTCCTCCAAAACCATTCAAAAAATTCAAAATTTACTATAATCCCTTCAAAACCTTCAATAACTACCTTAATCTAATGATCTACACAACAATATTAAATACCCAACTTCACAAATTACATGATAATAATATTTTAAGAATCATAATTCATACTACTCCATATAATTCAATCTAATACAATATGCACATGTACATTCTAGTATATCTTTATATTAAAGAACTTGGTATTAAAAAAAATTAATAAGAATTACCAAAGTTATTGATGTTCCAGAATGGAGATTGTTTGTCGGCAGGAAATTGAGGATCCCCAGAAAAGTAAGGCGATGCAGACAAACCCTGCTGATCCATCATTTGAGACGGCATTTTTTCCCAGTTTTTGATAAAAATCAAAAAAACCCAATAACCCAATTCAATAAAATCACAACTTCCAATAATGAATTTCGGGAATAGAGAGAAACCAAAAAGACAGACAGAAAAATTAGAGAAGAAGAAAGAAAGAAAGAAAGAAATGTATGAATATATAAAAAAGAATAAACTACGGCAAAAGAAAAGGAAACTGGTTAAGAATTGCAGGAGGGGTGGAGGGATCTAGGTATCTGTGCCGTGCAACAACATCCAAAACAAAGGCTTTTGTTTGATGCCTTAACACTCTCTCTCCTCTTTCATCTTCATCTCTTCTTTTCCCTGCATTGCACGTTAACTATACCTCCTTCCCTTCCTCCCCCTACCTGCTTTTCTTGTGTTATTTTATTGTATTTACGAAATGTTTGTAAGTCGAACAAATTTCTTTTTCTTCGCGCCAAAGGATATGCCCTCGCTCGCTCGCCTGCCTCCGCGGGGGCACGGGGGAAGGGAGGGAGAGAGGGAAGAGTAGGTGGAGGTAGAAGAAAACCAAAGATTGGTTTTTCCAACTAAAATTATTATTATTAACTAATAATTTGGGGAAAATGGGGTGTCGATTTTTATTTTTATTTATATATTGCGCGAAATCATCGTTTGGATCATGGAACACAGAAATCATGTAAGAGAGAGAATTCCCCTCCAAAAATTAAGTGTTTTTTTAAAAAATAAATGAATAAAATAAACTTCTCTAAAAACAACAAGGTGTGGAGAAAGAAGAGGACACAAGATCCGTTGGTCAATTACTAGTATTTTTCTTTTTTTCTTCTTTCTTCTTTTGTACTTTTATATGAATTAAAAAAAAAAAAAAAAAAAAAAAAAAAAAAAAAAAAAAAGGTGATTATTGAGCAGGTTCTAGCCGGGCCGAGACTGAAAAGATTATATCATTTCTGGGGCGAAATGCTATGTGCCTAAAACCATCCAAACTAGCCAGAGACCGGACCAAAAAAAAATAACTAAAATTGCATAAATCGTATTCCTAAGCCCGCTTAAAAAAATTTAAAAATCGGATTGAGTCGGAAAAATTTGCCAAAATTCAAATTGGGCTCAGTTTGATCAAGTCTATTTTGACTAATTAATTATGAAGTTTTTTTTTTTGCATAAAGGTAAACAAAGAAGTTAGGATAGTTTCTCTCAATATTGTACCCTAACTTATCTAAATAAATTAAACAAAAAATACTCCATTTAATAGTATAGATGAATGGATCAATATCTTTCTGAGCTTGCCAAAAATGGCTCAGAAAAGCAACATAGTCTGTAGTTATATTACCCCTCTCTATAAATGTAGCGCGAATGAATTGAAATGAGATTTCAAAATGGCTCCTTAACGTCTCCCATCAATAGCTGAATTTTCCACGAACATTCAGCATTTCCCTGTAAAATATTAATAATAAGTAAACTATCCCCCTTCTATGAACACCTTTGAAATATTATGGGCCTGCGCTAGAAGAAGATTGTTACAAAGGGTTGTAGCTTCTCTTAATCTCTTCCGCAATAAGCGGAGGACTCATTCCAAAATTAAAAGAGCGACTATAAACTTATTTCCCAAATGATCTCTTAGAGCAATGCCTAAATCCCTTCGACCATCCCGAACGAAACCATCAAAAATTATATTAATAACACCCAAGTGTGGGAGCAGCGCGACCAAGACAAATTAAACGAATACTCCTATGGGTAGGGCGAGAGCATGAGCATCCAAAGAGTCAAGAAAGTAACTTATATTATCACATGTACAACAAGGAAGAGATTAAAGAATGTAAACAAACAAATTATTGGATATTTCTTTTCTGATTACTTTTATATACAATTCATTTTACCTCTCATATCACTCTTAGAAATGCGTGTTTTAATGTTATGTTGCAAGCAAATGAAAAGAGGGAAAAAAAATCTGAGTCCAACTTATTTTAAGGAGGTTTTTTTCGTAAAGTTATCTCAATTCTTTTCACTAAAAACCTTTAAAATATAACTTAAGCTATGTGCTTTTACAGTTTTACCCTAATTTATTTATTTATTGTTTTAAAAACGAGCATAATGAGTTATTATCTGCAAATTACTCACTAAAGAAAAAAAGGGTTAGTTGGACAATTATTGGACATATTATTTTTTACTAAATTTTTTGTAAACGCTAAGGAGGCTAATGTGTGCGATGCGCGTAGGGTACGGTGTTCGAAAATCGGTCTGGTCTTCGGGTATAGAAACTTATTTTCTGGTTTTCGGTCCGATCCGAAACCCTGTAAAAATTGGTCTTGGACCAAATCGGTTTTTTGCTTAAAATTTTGCATGAAACCTTAAATAATGGTTAAGATTATCCTTAATAAGTTTAGAACACTTTAATTGTATGAGCTTTTTTGAAATAAATATACAAACGAAAAACTCTAAAATATAGTTTATCCTTTACCTTTTTCGAGTTTTCCATAAAGTTATTATAAATTTATAAAAAAAATTCTTAAAGAGGTTCGGTTTGGGTTTTGGACCGATTCTTTCGGTCCAGGTTCAGTCCCAGCTTAATCAGTCTGGTCTTCAGTTCTTGAAATTATAATTTTTTATCTGGACCGGTATGGTCTTGGATCGATGACCAACCCTAGACGTGCGTGCCATACCTAGCCATGAATGTCCGGGGAACTCTTTCAACTTGGCCTTATGCCATAAATTAACTGTTTTTAGTTATCAATATTAAGGAAAAATATGTAAACAAATTTATTTAGGGGTATGAATGTTGGAACACTATTTGTAAGAATTCAAAAAAAGAGTTGTTACTCCGTATCATTAAACAAATAAGTAAACAATCTTTATTTTGAGCATATATGTCTGCACACTATTTATACAGAGTTTACTTGAGCTTTTTAAAATGTAGGGATTATCAAGAAGAAATGAGAGACCGATATGTTTATTTATAACCATACCTAAAGTGATAAGTGCTGACATTAAATCACTATTATACTGTTGTGAACTTCTTACAAATAAAAATTACAGTCAAAATTATTAGTGGCACCGTCATCCTATTCTTCTATTATCAATATAAAACTTGGACATGGTAGAAATATTGACATTATTCCCCTATGGACTTTTAGTACTAAATCAATTGACTAAATACACAATGGCTAACAAATTACCTAAAAAAGGCTTGGGTTTTTAAGGGGGCCAGCTTATGGGCCAGGCCTTTCTCTGACCTGATAACTAGTATCGCTGCCTCGCCCAGCTCTATCAGCAGGCCCTTTCTTTTGCAATACTTAAAAAGGTCTCTCATGGACCAATTATTATTACAGCATTCTCTACCGTAGAATTCGGCAGAGGGGAGAGAGCTCAGTGAGGAAATAAAGAAAGAAGAGCAGGGCAGCTAATTGAATAATAGAAGAATAGGATGAGCTTGAGTCTTTTATAGTTTACTAATTCTTTGATTTTTTTTGGGTTCCTTTTTAATAAAACAAAAACCACTAAACTAATGTTGATATCTCATAAAACAAGTTTTAATTTAAGAAAATTGACTTTATTACCAATTACAACTATGGATAACCTTCTTTTGAAAGGTCTTGCTATCGATTAATTCATGCTGATCTCTATCTTATTACAATCAAGCAAATCGATTGAAAATTGCCACATGTTGAATATGTAGTGGCTCGTTTGAATAAAATTAAACAATCTCTCATATCTCACTTCCTCATCTACATAATTGCAACCACCACATGCACCATAACTGTTAAATATAGTATATATTGTAATTAGTCAAAGAAGATATTTGTTCCTATTATATCTTCTATAGTTGTCGTATATAGTGGAGTTAGTCAAAGTTGTTAGCTTTGTAATTATCCTAGCTTGAGTTAAGCCTATTATCAAGGCTGTAGTTGTGTATATATACGGTGATCCAATTGATCAGTATTCAAGGAAAACATTATCCAATCTTTCATGGTATCGGTTAGCCTAGGTTGCCTTCTTCTCTAAATTCCGCTGCGCCCTAGTGCTCTCCTTCCTTATCTTCTTCTTTTCTTCATCTCCTTTTCTCCATGGGTGATTCTAAATCATCTTTTCATCCGGCTCTTGCCGTCTCTAATATCAAGAGTGCTATTCCAATTACTCTTGATATGAAAAACGTTCAATACTCTACGTGGGCGGAGTTGTTCAAAATTCACGCAAGATCACACAAAGTCCTTCACCATATTATTCCTCCAGAAAAAGGCAAGGAAAAGGTTCCATCTACGGATGAGGAGAAGGAATTTGGTCGACCTTGGATGCCGCGGTCTTATCGTGAATCTATTCTACTATCTCTAATGACTTGTTGCAGACAATCATTGAACCCGACTCTACGGCCATGGATGCTTGGAATCGATTGCGAGATATATTCCAAGATAATGAACATTCCCGTGCCGTTGCTTTGGAGCAAGAATTCTCCACGACTGCTATGGAGGATTTCCCGAATGTGTCGGCTTACTGTCAACATCTTAAGTCCCTTGGAGATCAGTTAAAGAATGTTGGGGCACCGGTTTCGGACAGCCGTATGGTGTTGCAATTGGTAGGGGGTCTCACAAAAGCATACCGTGGTGTAGGTACGGTAATCCGGCAATCCGACCCTCTTCCTCCTTTTTACAAAGCTCGGTCAATGCTAATTTTGGAGGAGGCGGGTATGGCAAAGGAGGCAGCCATTAAGTCTGCCATGATTCACACTTCGCAAGACGATGTTTCGGAGAAGCACAGTCACTCGAAGGGGAAGCAGTCGGTTGGTCAGAACTCCGGCAGCCGGAAAAACAACAACACCCGGAAGAATTCCGGTGGTGGCAGACGCAACAACAGTGGTGGCAAGTCTGGTGGCCGAGGACAGAACGGGGGGAACTCCAACTCCAATGCTCCAACGTCTCAATGGCAGCATCAGCCATTTATGTGGCCTTGGTATGGGCAGACCTGGCCCATTCCTCCTTGCCCATTCCCTAATCAAGGATGGGTCAGGCCTTCTATACCCCAGCAGCAGCGACAGCCCGGCATCTTGGGCCCAAGACCACAGCAGCAGGCCTATGTGCAGCAGTCCATTCCAGCATCTGGTCAGTCCGCTTCTTGGGTGCCTACAGATATTGAAGTTGCGATGCATACCATGTCCCTTCAACAGCCCGACCCAGCTTGGTACATGGACACTGGAGCAACGTCTCATATGACGTCCTCATCCGGTAATCTCTCGTCTTATTTTAATTTGAGCAATCATCCTACTCATAATATTATTGTTGGTAATGGTCATAAAATTCCGATTCTTGGTTTTGGTCACTCTAAATTGCCCTCCCCTAGTCAACCTCTCTCTCTCAAAAATGTCCTTCATGCTCCCAAATTAATTAAAAATCTCATATCTATTAGAAAGTTTACTACTGATAATTCTGTGTCAGTTGAGTTTGATCCTATTGGGTTTTCTGTGAAGGACTTTCGGACGGGGATGCCAATAATGAGATGTGATAGTCAAGGTGACCTTTATCCATTTTCATCTTCTCTCAACAATCAAGCTTACTCATCTACCTATGCCGCTCTCTCTCCCAAACTTTGGCATAATCGGTTGGGTCATCCGGCGGCTCCTACCTTAGATGTGCTTAGGAAAAATAAAAGCATTGCTTGTAATAAAATTTCTAGTTCATGTGTTTGCGAGTCTTGTGTACTTGGGAAACATATTAAGTTGCCATTTATTTCATGTACTTCTTGTACTTCTATGTCATTTGATATTATTCATAGTGACCTTTGGTCATCTCCGGTTTTGAGCTCTTCCGGGCATCGATATTATGTTTTATTTTTGGATGATTTTTCGAAATATTTGTGGACTTTTCCTTTGGCTAAGAAATCTGAGGTGTATGACATATTTTTAGCTTTTAAAGCCCATATTTCTACTCAATTTGAACATAATATAAAAAATGTCCAATGTGATAATGGCCGGGAATTTGATAATGGTCCTTTTTGGGATTTTTGTAAAGCTAATGGCATGTCTTTCCGCCTATCTTGTCCTTATACTTCATCTCAAAATGGGAAAGCCGAACGTAAAATTCGGACTGTAAATAATATGTCAAGAACTCTTCTCGCTCATTCTTCTCTCCCCCCATCTTTTTGGCATCATTCCCTTCAAATGGCAACATATCTTCTTAATATCCTTCCAAGTAAACTTCTGGGAAATAAATCTCCTCTTGAGGTTCTTTATCAAAAGGTTCCTTCTTATTCTCATTTACGGGTTTTTGGTTGTTTGTGTTACCCTCTTTTCCCATCTACCACTATTAATAAATTACAACCCCGGTCTACTCCGTGTGTTTTCTTAGGGTATCCTTCCAATCATCGAGGCTACAAGTGCTATGATTTATCTTCTAGAAAAATTATTATTTGTCGCCATGTCATATTTGATGAGAATGTATTTCCTTTTGCTGATTTACACTCCCATGCTTCCCATACATATGATTTTCTTGATAATGATTTGTCCCCATACGTGCTAAATTATTATCAAACTTCAAGTCATGCAGCTCCAACCCAACTCGCAGGGCCCAGTTGAAGGGAATTATAGGTACTACGCAGCGGAAATAATCATGAATCATATTTATATAGCACCTAACCAAGGATCTCATGCATAACACATAAAGAGTAAGAATAATACCTTTGAAGCGTGATTCCACCGGTGATCGAGCAAGAACTAGGGAGATAAAGAACCTCAAGTGTGATTCCTCTACTTGGTCCACGGGCACAGATTAAAACCTCCACTAATGCTAGTTAGTTGCAATTGAAACCTTCAATTGACTTTCTACGGAGATGAACGAACAACGAACTAGCCAAGGACCACCGCGCAACACCACGAGGACCACTAGGGTGGTCGGCCGTGGGTGAGAGGGGAGAGAGAGGCCCGTGAGTTTGAGAAAGGAAAGGACTTTGGATGATGGTTGCTTAGATTCACAATTCACTGTATGTTAATTGTGACTTAATTAATCAACCCTAGGCATGACTATTATTTATAGATCATATCTCTAAATAATAGTCCAAGTCAAAGCCCAATTCCTAATCCCACTCAAACTACACTTAGCCCAATCATACTTATGACTAATTAAATGCTCATGAGGCCCATTAATGGGCCTCTAACTTGCTTAACCCATTACCCTTGTGTGTGACCTTATAGGATCCATTCTAAAGGGCTTTGGACTATTTAACTAGCCCAAAGATCATCTCTCATAGTCTAGCAATAGAGGATGACGCCCCAATAGGATGAAATTATTATCTCCATAATAGTAATCCTTGATATATCTAGTAATTGCACTTATCGAAGACACAATTCCTTCAAGTTCACCTGTCCAGCAACTCACACCCACTTGTGAGCCTGTTGTGACGCTAGAACCCATCAGCGAGCAGCCCAGTCCAGCTTCTGGGTCGGCTTCTTCTTCTGGCCCAAGGCCATCTTCCTCCTTGCCCACTTCTCAAACACAAACCACCCCAAATCAATTCCCTCCACAAAATATTCCTCAACAGCCTACTGTCATAACTCGTAGCCGTAATGGAATTTTTAAGCCAAATAAAAAGTATTCCATGCATACTGCGGTTCAGGGGTCTCCATTGCCTCGTAACCTGGTTGCGGCTCTTCGTGACCCAAATTGAAAAATGTCCATGGATGATGAATATAATGCTCTTATTGAAAATAAGACGTGGGAGTTGGTGCCCCGTCCTCCGCATGTGAATGTTATTTGATCTATGTGGATTTTCACTCATAAAGTTAAATCTAATGGTGATTTTGAGAGGCATAAAGCCCGTCTTGTAGGTGATGGAAAAACACAACAGGTTGGCATTGATTGCGGTGAGACATTTAGTCCGGTGGTGAAGCCGGCTACTATTCGTACTGTTCTCAGTCTATCTCTTTCGAAGGAATGGTCGATTCATCAGTTGGATGTCAAAAATGCCTTTCTTCATGGTGAGTTGCAGGAAACTGTGTATATGCATCAACCCTTAGGTTACAGGGATCCTGGCCATCCAGATTATGTTTGCCTCTTGCGTAAGTCATTATATGGACTGAAGCAAGCCCCTAGAGCTTGGTACAAGCGTTTTGCAGATTATGTGTTGTCTCTTGGTTTTACTAACAGTAAAATGGATAATCCGTTGTTTATTTATCAAAAGGGGTCTGATATGGCATACATTTGACTCTATGTTGATGATATAATTCTCACTGCTTCTTCTGATACTCTCCGTTGTTCTATTATGGATCTTCTGAGCTCTGAGTTCGCTATGAAGGATCTTGGTCCTTTGAATTATTTTCTGGGAATTGTTGTGACCCGGAAAAGGGGGGGGTATGTTTTTATCTCAACGGAAATATGCCGATGAGATAATAGAGCGAGCAGGGATGTCTTCGTGTAAACCATCTCCTACTCCGGTTGATACGAAGCCTAAGGTTAGTGCTACATCTAGTACAACATTTGATGATCCCACCCTCTATCGGAGTCTTGCAGGGGCTCTTCAGTATCTTACTTTTACTAGGCCGGATATTTCTTATGCTGTTCAACAGGTCTGCTTACATATGCATGATCCTAGGGTTGATCATATGACTGCTCTGAAAAGAATTATTCGGTATGTTCAGGGTACATTGGAGTACGACCTCCATTTATATCCATCTTCTTTTTCTACTCTGGTCTCATATACTGATGCAGATTGGGGTGGGTGTCCCGATACTCGACGATCTACTTCTGGTTATTGTGTATTTTTGGGTGACAATTTGGTGTCTTGGTCATCAAAACAACAACCAACAGTGTCGAAATCGAGTTCAGAGGCAGAATACCGTGGGGTGGCAAATGTTGTTTCCGAATCATGTTGGCTTCAGAACCTTCTCTTGGAGTTACATTGTCCGATTAATAAGGCCACTCTTGTTTATTGTGACAATGTCAGTGCAATTTATTTATCAGGAAATCCAATTCAACATCAACGGACAAAACATATAGAAATGGATATTCATTTTGTCAGGGAAAAAGTTGCTCGGGGTGAAGTCCGAGTGCTTCACGTGCCTTCACGACATCAAATAGCTGACATCTTTACTAAAGGCCTTCCTCTAGTATTGTTTGGAGATTTTAGGGACAGTCTCAGTGTCCGTAGCCCTCCCGCTTCGACTGGGGGGTGTGTTAAATATAGTATATATTGTAATTAGTCAAAGAAGATATTTGTTCCTAATATGTCTTCTATAGTTGCCGTATATAGTGGAGTTAGTCAAAGTTGTTAGCTTTGTAATTATCCTAGCTTGAGTTAAGCCTATTATCAAGGCTGTAGTTGTGTATATATACGGTGATCCAATTGATCAGTATTCAAGGAAAACATTGTCCAATCTTTCAATAACCATTGATGTACCCAAGCTTCCATGCCACTTACCTTCCTTATCATCACCATCCCGAGTCATTCCCATCTTACAACCCACGAACCAATCCAAAAACCGCAGTTAAGAGTGGTGATAAATTGGTGATTGCCATAAGGTTCTGCAAACACGATGGTTGGTTGGTAGTTTGGGTCGGGGTGTGTGGTGGTTTGGCAGGTAACATGACAGTATAAAAGGATTTTGAATTTAAAAGTAAAAATTTTAAAAAGTTAATCACTAAAAGTCAAAATGTAGCAAACAAAAGTAGAACAATATGTTTAGAGGGAGCATCCAAGGTTTTTTTTTTTTTAAAAAAAAAGAAGTCTTAAAGGACATTAAATTTCATTAATATAAGCCATACAGCATATACAATTGACATTGAACGATAATGAAAACGAATTTAACAAAATCAAACAAGAATTAATCGGAGAATGGATAAGAATCCAAATACATAAATATAACAATTCGGCATATTCTCGATTCGTTGTTGTAACACCCCAATAATTCTCTCTTAAATCTGTAAATACCCTGAACAATATTCAAGAGAATTACTGGCGTGCTACCGCCACGTGTTCAAACGTTAAGGCTTTATCAGAAAATAGCAGCGGAAAAACTAACTCAGTTATAAATAAGTTTCAAAAACAACAAATAAAACCAAATTAAGTGATACAAGATGGAACCATTAAGGCCCTTATTCAAAACCCCACAAAAGTAGTAAATAAATAAAACCAGAGTTTAAATAAATTCAAACTTATGAAAAGAAATAAACTGCGAATAATAACCAACTCTCTACTCAAAATCCCACAACCCTGATGCGAATGCTGCATATGTAAGAACCTGTGGTTAATCTGCTCCCCAATATCACAAGTGTAAAAATTGGATCGTCACAGGGTCATTGAAAGCGAAGGCCATGACCAAAGAAAGACACACACAAAAGCACGCAATCAACAAAGCTGAGTACATACAAGCTGCGAAATAAATTAAGAACATACCTAACATGCTATTAATAATCAAGCATAAGCATCATAAAATACAGACTCAATTCACGACTCAATTATCAAGTTTATTAAAACCTCACTAATTGATATTAACTGACTCATTTATTTACTTCATTGGATTTAGCAATAGACAAAGTTGTCCAACCCATGTCCCATTTGGAACATCAATAAAAGAAAAACCCCATGCCTCCTTTCGGAAACATCAATAAAAATCCAACGACCACGGGCGCGACTCCGTGACCGTAGTTAGTATGAGATCTCACCTAACTCCTAGTTTTAAAAAATAAAATATTTGAAATAGGAGACTCGTAGATCAGACGGCCTCGATAAAAGTACACGACTAATATACCCCGTGTACCCCAACCCCTGATTGTCATTACTCCAGAAGTGCACCAATCCAGAGTTTTATTGCTCATCCATCTTGCACTTTACGTGATTTACAGGTTTAGACTTGGTGATGACTCATATGCAAACAATACAATCAATCCAATATCAATTCAATCAAGTAAAACAACTTTTCAATTTCAATTCTTGATTTATTAGTGACAAGCAACATTTATTATTTATTATTTATTCCTTTAACTACCTCAGTGTATAAACACCTTGAGTGCATAAGGCACCCCAAAACCTTAACCTCGTCTTATAAGACTTGAATTCTCCCGTTACTCATCCTATTTCAATAATCATGAATGAGTAATAAATTAATCTTTACACCAATTGCATACCTTTGCCTCTAAGCACACCTTGCATAATTAGAGCATAAATAATACTTGCAATATAAAATAGTGCACATCATATGAAATTCACAATGTATAACCAAACAATTTAGTCCAGTCATCCCTATACATTACACTAAGTTCTCGATCCGTCCTTAAACATGCACCTAAAAGCAAGATTTCGTAACTTGTACGTACCTTGAATAAACGAATTGGTATGTCACTTAACCAACTAGAAATCACCTTCTATAAAGTCCTCTCCTAAACCAAACAATAAGATTTCAATCAATACCCAAACAACCAAATTTACAGCAATACTAACTTACTTTAAAACCTTCAAAATCCAATTAAACAACACTTTAAAACCTTCCCTTTAGTTAAAATTATAGGCTTATGTATAGTTCTTTATATTTCCTTCATAAAAAACTTAAAATACATCATTATACATGAAATTACAGCAAGTTTAAAGTTTAATAAAAATCTTAAAATTATTTAAAAAACCCCTAATAATCTCCCTTTTTAATGGGTGATTAAACCCTCTTTATAAAACATCAAAAGTAGTACTTAGAAACTATTTTCAGCACTTAAAACTTCAATAAAACATATATTTATGCTTAATTAAATTTAAACATAATTAATTTTATTAATCAAACTCAAGGATAATATTTTAAGTATAAAAAAACTTCGTGAAAATAAAAAACTTCGTGAAAATACAACTTGATACTAATTAAATTACTTTCAAACAATAAAATCAAAATCCATAAATCAATAATTATAATTATACAAATTAATAAAACAAAGTAGAGAGAAAATAAGACTAACCTTTTTGTGTGGGAAAATTTTGGGGATTAATAGGGTATTTATAGGAGGGAATGTTGTAGGGTAAGTAAGAAGATTGGGCCTCATAAAATTATTGGGCCAATTAGGTAAATGAAATGGACTAGGCTTTGTTTGTATGATCATGAATTGTAGAACATAGGTTCATAAAATAGTTTGTGCTAAAATAATTTTTAACCAATATTAATAATTTGAAACTTTTGCAATTAAATTCCGGAAAAGTACAAATAAATATTATAAATAAAATAAAATTTCATTTATAAAATATTTAAAAATACGGGGGATTACAGTTGTCTCATACAACCTTTTGAGTCGATCCGTCGTCGCTTCAAAATTTTGTGATAAAGTAAATTCTTGTGCTGATTCCGTAACCCGAATTCGAGCCATAATCAATAGTAGCCGCGCACAACCGGAGACCAAATTAAGCACAAATAAAACCTTGTTTTTCGAAGGAGTACAAAAAAACCTTGTTTTTCGAAGGAGATCGAAAAAACCCTGTCTTTCGAAGGAGATAAACCTTTTCTTTCGAGGGAGACATTATTGTAACCTGAAACAAAAGGGCTTTCCATCGGTGAAATCCGATGGAAGCCCCTTTAAAATTGACAATGGAGGCTAGGTTTAGGAGAGAGAAGAGAGAAAAGAAGGCTAGGCTATATTTCTTAGTTGAACGGCCAAGGTTAATCCATGAGATTAACATTTCAATTTATCTCCTATCACAATTTTATGCATTGATTTTTGTGCCACTTTATGATTTCACTTTTTATTATTAAAAAATTGAAGAAAAACAATTTTTTGTGAGAGGAGACATATTTACTGATTTATTTTAGAGATTAATTTAAACTTTCCCTTTTATATAAGACCTAAAATAATATTACAATTGTTTATTTTAGTTGACACGTATTTATTTTTGGAAAGTGTATTTTTGGTTGGCCTCACTTCAAAGTTGATTAAATAAGCTAAAGCACATGATCTACCTACTTGCTTTACCATTATTTCTCTTCTCCTTAAAGTGTGTGTCTAAATTGAACGTATAATCTAATAGATCGAGTGAAATCATCGACCTAAAAGATATTACCAATTTACCATAATATTAAAAATATGAATCACTAATATCGTATCAATACTTTTTATTGCATCATAATTATCACCCTTTAGTTGAATCATCAATAACTATATAAAAAAAGACACACCATTTTTTTTTTGCTAAATAAAATTTTATTAAAGAAACAACACTTATATACAAAAATAATACCCTAATATATAATATAATTGCTTGCAATAAAAATGATTTGACATATCTTTAACACAAATATTTATATAACTATAAAATATTTCTTAAATTTTGATAATTTTCTACATCATTTTATATCTAACATATCTTTCGTAATCCTTTCTTTTGATCAAAATTTGTTAATTATATTTTTAGATTTTTTTTATCATAAAAAACTAATTATAATGATATTTTAATAATATTTAGTTATTAAACATTACCGTGCATGGCACGGGAACTAACCTAGTATGGGTAATAATATTGTCTGGCCCGTCACTGGAACCTAAGTGAACTATAAAAATATTTCTTAACATAATTTTGATAATAATCTACATCATTTTATATCTAACATATCTTTCGTAATCCTTTCTTTTGATCAAAATTTGTTAATTATATTTTAAGATTTTTTTATCATAAAAAACTAATTATAATGATATTTTAATAATAGTTAGTTATTAAATATCTATCTCCTCCTGTTATCTCTCAAACACACACATAAGTTGAGAAAAAAAATTGAATATGGGACTTGCACGAAATCTTAGAGATGAACTATGTTTATGAAAAACAACGATCAGAAAAAAAAAAGGATCTCACTCAGGCTCTTGATACCATGCTATACATGACTAAATAATTCTCAGTATTCTGATATCATATTCATGGCCACATACAATATTAATAGGCTTAGTAAATTTGAAGGGCAAGGCCAAGATATACTACAATAAACTCTACAATATCTTTCACAATATACAATATTATCATATATAACAAAATATATTCACCAAGATCTCATAATATCCCAATAAAATCATATCCTACCATAAATATGGCTAATGATATTACTTTCCTAATATATGTATGGAAAGTATCTCACACAAATATATTTTCCTATATTTTATGATATGAATGATATTAGTTGATGATTTCTTTCCTATTAGACCACTACGACTAAGCTTGGGCTAGCCTTATAAGTCATTAGGTGCAAAATGAATTATGTCCAAATTGATTTTGGACATTGAAAGGAGTTTGAAGCCCTAAGTGGATTGTTTGTCCAACAGTCTTGCCTTCTTAACTACTCCTTTTATGAAGTAATACTGTAATAGAGATAGTTGTCACCTAAACTCCATAATAAACTACTTAGATTAACATTACATACTATTTAGCTACTTCAAAATTTATAAAATTTTTATACATCTTATTATTTATTTTTTATTTTTTCGAGATACAATATACGGAGTATATTTATTTTTTATCACACACAATATAAGTCTCACATGGCAATGTAGTTGGTTCATTAAAATCTTATTATGAATAAAATTAAAAAAATGTGCATGAAAAGTATGAGTGTATGACCAAGTCACTAGTCATATAACATGACTCATATCCAACATCCAAGTTCCCGCCTTTGAGGTCTTACCTTTCAGAAATCCCCTTATTAATATTTTAATAATAATAATAATAGTAACACTTCCATAATTTTAATTTTCGAAAAACCCTAATAAATAAAAGGCAACACTG